CTCTGGGTGGAGTCCAAATCATCACACCTGTCATCCTCACCTGTTTGTGATCCAGTTGGCAGTTTTAAGACCAGCGTACACAACTATTCTTCGCCAGTTCGTCCGCTATCCCACATCTGTGATACTGTAGGCCATTCATGCTTTCATGATTCATCCTAATCTTGTTAATACTTACCCTGTTTTTCCTTGTGCTCTAGTCATACCTCGTCCTCGCAGCTCCCGTGGGAAGAGTACAAACACAATTCACTCACCTCATCTGCTACTAGTCTCTCGTCTTATATCCCTAGGATATCAGCCGCCTCTTTTCCCTGAGGTAGAAGCTGACGTCACAGTTCCATCTGTCCAACATCACCTTTGATGTAGTTGTTGCATTTGGGCCCAGACTCAGGAAGCTCTACTCAGAACCGTTCATTGGCAGCGCCACTATTTGGATCGCCTCCAAATGGCCGCTCCCAGATATGAACCTGAACAAAAGGAATGGCTAACAGCTAAGGACATCCCTCTGAAGGCCCTCTCCTCTAAGTTCAGTCCCCATTTTACTGACCCTTCAGTAGTCAGACTCAATCTTCCAGCATCCATGCACATTCACCACATGTTCCATGTCTCCCAGGTCAAGTTAGTCCACAACAATCCATTCCTCGAGGGCAAGCTTGATTGGCAGCTTAATGTCTGACATCATGCTTGTGCTGGGGAGAGACAACAAGAAAAACCACACAGGAATGGTTCCAAACATCCAACATGTACAGTCCTCACTCTCTCGCAGTCAGGCTCAGGCTCACCACACCAGGTATAGAAGTAGAGGAACCTGTTCACAGGGCACAGAGGGCCACAAATCCACAGCAGCAGAGCAAAAACACCCAGCATAACAGGAGCCAAGATTACAACCATTCAGTTCCAGCAAACACTGATCCTTCAGCCACTACCTTAAGTAGTGACCTCCACTAACCCGCGATGAGCACTGCCCATGAACACACACAAAGGAGGAGAGAGAAAAACTAGCATGCGACAAAGCCAGAGATGACTGAGGGACCATGACAGGGCTGAACTTAAACATGCTTACTTAACTCTACATTATAATTATCTAGATCTTTATCGTGTATTATTTTTCCTTATGCTTTGTGCATTTAATTGCAGTCATATACATTGTGCTACAGTGCTGTGTAGGTGTTCGGGGATTTCTACTCCATAAATTAAGACAAGATCGACTGTGGGATTAAAACAATGAGGCAGCTTATTTGCATTCTGACACTTTAAAGTAGCCCAATAATGAACTAAATGCACTGTTTCATCATCTACATTGATCAGAATGTTTTATTCATTCCAGAGGAAATTATTCAAATTTGAAAGTTATATAAGTGAATGTAAAAGTCACCCAGTGGAATTGAACTGGACACTAAATCTGATGAAAAATCTGAGTAATAACATGAAGCTCTTAATAAGATATTTGAAGTTTATACATCTACATTCTCACTTGAAAATATCTCAAAAGTTTATTTTGTGTCACAGAAAGATTATTAAATAAATGCATTTGAGCATATTTTAGAAGTAATCGCTTCACTTTTGGACGTGGGACAGAGTCATTGTGTCTGACGACTGTTTGAAACAGGTTGGTTCACATTCTGATGGCTTCAGTTTCAGGCTGCACTTCCTCTTCACAGTCATCTCGTTAGCCAGGGTTCCCAACTGCCTTGGAGGACCTGCTGAGTGACAGCTTACTGGGTTAAGCTGCTGTCCCTGCAGCAGTTACAGGGTCCTGGCTACTGGCCATACTGGTTTATTTTCAAGAGTTCACAGTCTAACTCCAGTTCACTGAGCCTGGCCTCCAAAGCTACAAAAAGGCCACATTTATTACAAGTAACATTAGATTTAAAGAGCATTGTTTTTATCGTTTTGTGTTTTACAATCAGTGAGTTTACAGAGCGTGATTCTTTGTTTTGAGGTTTTAGTGTTTGAAAATGTTTCATTTTAGTTGAGTTTTTATTAGTTTCGGGGGGGGGCATCCTAACATGTATGTTTGCCTCTTCAAAGCGTGAAATGCATACTCATGCAGAAGTTGCAGTAACAGCAGGGGGAGATATTGTTTAAGTCAACATGAAAATAATCAGAGGAAAGAGTTTAAACACACATTATTTACGCTTTTAGGGAAAAAAAATCTTTGAATGAATCCTTAAACAAACAGAAAGCCAGGGAAGGGAGCCGAGGACGGGACAAATGTACTCGTGTTTGCGAGTTAAAAGACAAGCTGCAGCATCTTGGACAAACAGTAAGGGGATCTTTTCAAAGGTCAAAACAGAGCACATTGCAGTAGTCCAGAGGTACTGTGACAGAAGCATAAATGAAATGTTCAAAGTTTGAAGGTGGATTTGTGCTTGGATAAAAGTCTCAAATGATAAAAAGTAGCTTTGATGATGGATTTTATCTGCGTATCAAGAATAAATCACAGTTTGACACCAAGATTAGTCAGTGTTGGTTTAGCACATGGCTGCAGGGGATCCAGGTCGCAGCACACACACCACTGAACACGATGACTTCAGTATAACTTTTACTGAAATTTTAAAAATATAAAATGCCATTCAGGCTTTGATATCAAATAATTATAAAAAGTTCATGGTGAACTGGACTTTATGCCGAAGCAGAGCGCAAAGTGATTCACGAGCCAGCTGTCCCATGCAGAGTGCATGAGTTTCACATGCGGGTCATATCACACATAAGTGTAACAAACTAATGAGGGCTGGAGCATATCCCAGTTGCCACAGGGCAAGAGATGGAGTTCACCCTGGACAGGTCACCAATCTATCGCAGGGCTAACACATCGAAACAGACAACCATTCACATTCACACCTGGGCAAATCAGAATCCCCAGTTAACTTAACCCCGCTAACTGCAGCCTTTCGACTGTGGAGCGAACCCACACAGAGCGAACATGTAAAGTCCACACAGACTGGAACCCAGGACATCGCTGCTGTGCGGCAGCAGTGAGAACCACTGCGTTTCCCCTGTGTTGTATTTATGTCTCCTTATTCATTTCAGTTTTATTCAAATCACAACAGCAGTCACCTCGAGGTGGGGTTGGACGATATGAGGAAAATCTAATATAACAATATTTTTTTGACTATATCACACGATATGTGATATGTTTAAATAACCTCCTAAAACTAATGTTGTTTTCAGCCATATAGTGCTTAACTGGTACACTCATTCAAATAGACCACTCAGTGTTTATTTTCTACTTTAAATACCAAAAATCTGAATTGAAATGTTTTATTTTAACCATTTTTAACCATCAGTTGCAGACAGAGGTTTATTGCAAATGCCTGTACTGTCACACTAAGTCTCTTTCTGTATTCAACACTGGACCTTTACCAAACAAAAATGGACATTAAGCAATAATTCACAACACAAAATAAAACCATTTTAAATAAAAAGGTGCTCTTTTGTGCTAATAACATATCAAATTTGTAAAATAAAAAATGTGATGAACAAAAATTATAGAAACAAAGCAGGGCTCTTCAGGACTTCAGGACAAATGGTAAAAGGCTCCCATAAATACACTTGTGGAAAGAAGATTGGAGGATGTTATAGAAGTAAAGGGCGAGCTGACATTATATTAAACCCTATGGATTAAGAATGGGATGCTACTATGTGCCAAGGTTTTTGAGAGTGTGTCGAGTCATTTGAAGTCGTGCTGGTTCAGGAAGTGTTTCCAGTGCTGTTGGATTTAACTTCCTCTCACATTTCTGTCAAATCTGACCGATTTACAACTTTAAACACTCATAAATATTGTGTTTTACATCTGATTACCTCAAGGCCTTACAACATCCTCCACACTATGCACTTGAACATATAAAAGTGATGAGCACCACCTTTGAACTGAATTTGAGTGTTTTAATCAACCTTGTTCCATCTGTGTCGTTCCCAGTCAAAAGTGAAATGAATGAGTGACGTCTTTCTTGATTTATTATGTTCACAAGATTATCAAGTTATCAGATTCCCAAACTTTGGGGTCCACACCACTTTCCCGGTGGGGTGACCCTTCAGCCTTCAGCTCCTGAAGCAGCTGAGGGGTAAAAAGGGAAAGTCACCACCATCATCATCATCATCATCTTTATTTATAAAGCACTTTAAAACAACCACAGCTGAGGTAAAGTCCTGTACATTCTCCCTCGCCCTTCATGTTTCATGTCTGCGTGCCTTGTTTCCTGTTTTATTTTGAAGAGGTCTGGTGTCCTGTTCAGTGTGTTTAGTTTCATTTCTTGTGTGTTTCCATTCATTCCTCGCCCGTCTGTTTTCCTGCCTTGTGTCCATGCCATGTTTCCAGGGTTTTGAATTCATGCCAGGCCTTCATGTCAGGTTTCTATGTTCTTGTTTCTTTTCCATGATGTTTTTATGTTTAGCCTCAGTTCACCCAGTTTAGGTTTAGTTTTGCCAGCCTTAATAAACGGCTCGTTTTCTGTTACGTCAGGTTTTGTCTCTCTGCACTTGGGTCCACCTCCTCACTCCACACAGTCAGCGTCTCAGCCAAACTGTGACAGTGAGTGTCTGATGAAATTAAAAATAACTTTCATAAACACTTTGATAATGACATGTACACAAAGGTATGTCATTTAGGATTGATATATCTCATTATTACATATGAATTTCTATTATTATCATATTAAAACTTGGGTTGTCTTTGTAGTCGGTGCAAACAGTGTATCTACAGCTTTGGGTTCCTCAGGTTATCTGTAAAATGGCCCCAAAACAGTCCTAATGTTTGTATGTGAAACAGCAGGTCACTCTATGGTGATGAAGATGACTCATGCTGCATGTTATTGTTCAGTGAGGTTTTACACTGTAATCATACAACTATACACGTATCCACGTACAATTATTTGATATTCTGAAAACCACCCTTGTTGTTTTGAACAAACAAGTCTTCATAAAATCCTCAGCAGTCTTTTACTTTTTGTTGCTAAAGCAACAAGAAGAAGAAGAAAGTGACAACAAAGTAACAAAAGCAGTTTTGTGTCAGGAAGGTTTATTGACGTTGAATTTCTATGGAAGAATGGCAAATATAATCCCACAGTTTAAAACACATTCAAAATTGCATAAAATGTGTATTTAAGCTTTTAGTATTTTCCCGTCTTTACAAATATTTTAAATGTAACAGGTGTTAATAAAACTTTATAAAAGGCACTGCTTTTGGCGAGATGTAAGCTGTAGTACACACGAATGATGAACAGAGAACTGCAAACACAAGATAAAACCTCTGAGACACTTAAATACAAACTTTGATTTGACACGCTGAGCAGCGGGAGAGTGACATCATTCACATTTCAACAGGGCGACTCGCTGTTTCAGTTACATTTGTGTGAAGGCTACTCAGCTCCAATCAGTAGCACCTACATTTGTGAAATTCTCACCTTGACTTTTCTTGTGTTTTTTTTTGTTCAAAACTGTTGAAAATCACACGTTACACCAAATTCAGCTTGAAACCATTAACTTTAAACAAAACGGACCCACACGGATGCTTTTTGTAATGTTGCAAGGCTGTTGGCTTTGTGCTGCTGGAGCTTCTAGGATCTATAGATCATCCATAGTCTAAGCCAGCTATTCTAGGCTTTCCAACCATTTCCACACTCAAACCCACTTTGCATCATTACAAACAGTTCATGAGGTTTAACTAGTGCATATATCAGGTAACAAAAGGGTTCCTAGTGGCACATGTTGAGACATTAAAAATGCAAAGCAGACCAAAACTTCCACTCAAGCCAAACTTTAATGTGAATTCTGAATCTTCTCAGATTCAGTGTGAATGTGCACTTACTGCTGACCTAAAACCACATCATTCATTCTGATAGCAGGTGACAGAGGAGAGAAAACTGCCTTGGCCCAACATTTGGAAGTTTGCGGTGGTCACTGCATCACACACTTCTCTTTCTGTTGTTTAGCATACTTCCTCCTGCGCTGCTCCAGGCCACGCTCCAGACGCTCATCCTCCTCCACAGCTCTGAGGACCAGAGGAGAGATGGTTACAAGCTGCCTGCACATGCTTTTGTGTTGGGAAAACTGTGGATGTCCATTTTTCTTTAAAAGTGTCTTTCAGTTATTTAGGGTAGTGACTGTGAAGGGAAGGCTGCTGCTGGACAGACCGACAGAGAGGGGGATGAGTGAGGTGACAGCAGCTCGAGAGGAAGAGCAGGTCATCTTCTAACTGGAAGGTTGTGCTTGTATGAACGTATATGAATGGCTGAGACCTTATAAGGCACTCTGACCCAGGTCATTTACCATTTACAACCAGAAGGTGAGGTCAGGTAAACAGGAGTAAATTCCTCATCAGAAACTAGTAAATCTGTTCAAAAACTACTGATGTTATCACCGACTTATTGCTGAGTCAAAAGGTTCAATAAAAATGCAAAAAAGATGGGCGTAGAGTTTGAAAGCTGAATATGAAACCGTGATTTGCCTCCAGGCTCGTTGTGATGTTTCATACAGGCTAATGAAATCCCTTTTTAGTTGAATCTGAAAGTCTAGGAATAGTTTATCATGTGTGTATCGTGAGTCTCACCCTCTCTCCTTGGCATCTATACTGTGGACCAGTTCATCCCTCTGGTTCACCAGTGACACCAGCTCCTGAAGCAGCAGCTGCTCTCTGTGTTTATGGGCCTGAGTCTTCTGCCACTCTGCAGCACACAGACACAGAGGTGGGACAGAGAACAGTTTAGGGAGGAAACGAGCTGTAACGAGCTGCTTCTTACTTTTTTTCTGTATAGATGTGGAACTTACTGTTACAAAGTAAGTTCCACATATCAGGATATCAAGTGGCAACGTTCATACAAAGTCAAGTCAAAAAGGAAATCTGACGTCGAGTTTCACGCTGAATTTAGTGGCTGTCAACTGTGCTTGATAAGACCTGCCAAATGAAAGGCTGACGCTCTGTGCAGGGACGTCACTACACAGGTAATATTTCTAGTGACACAGACACTGAGTGACTCCTGGCTTGGTGTGGAGTGAGAGGTTGAGTGATTAGAGGGTTGTGGCCACTCTGCTGTTGTCGACTCTGCAGCTCTGTTTTGAAAACATGTGCAGTGGAAAACACGTGACGAGTACTGAACTCTCTGAATGCTTCTTCTTTTTTACCAACTGGATTTTCTTGTTGTGCAAATTCTATTTAATTTGTCTCTATTTGTCGAAAAAGTGAGGGAGCTAGTGTCAAAGGTCACAGGAAGCTGTTTGAAGTGAAACATCTTCTGTTTGCACAGCCAAAGTTACTGAGGAAATTCATGTGAATGAGTTTGATGTGATTTAAAATGAAAGCTTTTGTGTCACGGTTTTGTTGAGGTGGGCTGTGAAACATTTCCTCCTGCCAAGTGAGGATGGAAAGGAAAAGTTTACTGACAGGCTAAGTCGGTGGTTCAGCCTGTATGTAGTTATACTGCATGTATTTTGTATTTCGGCTGCCACTACATGTACGCAGCGCACCAAATAGCAGCTGATCTCTCAGTAGAGATTTGCTTTCAAACAGAGGGTGTCAGTTCCCATTTCTTAGCTCTGCTGACACATCTCAGGAGCTAAACTACCCTAATCAAGGTTTTAACTCCACTATGGGAACATGAAACAGTTTAATACCGTCAATTGCCATCATGTCCCTCAGCTCCTTGTTTAACAGCTCAAATCTTCGTTCCAAGTCTTGTTCTTCAAGCCTGTTAATCAGAACAGATGGAAATGATTTATGACACACAACATTTGTGTTTCATTTAACTTTGTCTTAGGTGGGAACCCCCAGCCAACATGTGAACCAAGATCCTTGCTATAAAGTGTTATGACAGAGTTGACAACTCCACCATCTGCTAATAGAGGTAAAATACCAAAATCCAAGGTGTGTGTGTGTGTGTGTGTGTGTGTGTGTATGTGTGTGTGTGTGTGTGTGTGTGTGTGTGTGTGTGTGAAGGTAGCATGTAGTAAAAAGCACTTTGAGTACTCAGAGTAGAAACGTGCTATAAGAGTATCACTCAATTTACCAAATACACCAATACGACCACCTGCCTAATAATGACGTTCCCGTCGAGACGTGGACTCCACTGCAGCCCTGCAGATGTCCTGTGGTCTCTGCCACCAAGATGTTAGCAACAGATCCTTAAAGTCCTGCTGGGCCTCTGTGGATCTGACTTATTTACTTTCTAATATTTTACACACCAACAGGAGTCATGATGAAGAGATAATCACCTCACCTATCAGTGGTCATAATGTTATGTCTGATTGGTGTACATGAAGCAAGTCAGCAACTTTGTGCTGAGATATACAGTACTATGCAAAAGTCTTGAACCACCCCTTACTCCTTTAAGACTGTCCTGTCATGTCAAAGTGGTTCTTGGGACACTGGCTGCTTTTTCACTTATGTTCAGTTCTGAGCTTGGACCTGACCATTTTCACAGGACTCTTCATTGTAAGGTAAAAACAGACCTACAAAAAATATATTCCTCATATACAATATATCTTAAAGTCACGTCCTTGAGAAAAAGGAAAGATCCCCGTCCGCTGACCCATCAACTGGTTACCAAAGCCTCGTGATAAATGGTGTCAGTGGAAGGCCATGGAGAAACCATTCTTAAGGAAGGAAAACAGGAAGAAAAGGCTGGCATGTGCCAAAATTACACAAGAACTCTCTGACATAGTTTAGGGCTGCATTCAGTAAGTGCTGTCTTAGAGCTCGTCAGAGTGAATGGAATTATTAACACAGATCCACCCTCTGGTAAATGGACTGATTCTTATACAGCACTCTTCTACTCTGCCAGAGTACTCAAAGCACTTCATATAACACGCCACATTCATCTTCTTCTATGATTTTAAGTGCTCACTAACTAACATTCACACACATTCATCAGAGAGCAACTTAGGGTTAACTCATTCACTGCCATTGACGTCTATAGCCGTCAATTGCAGTGAATGAGTCAATGGGTTTAACTCACTGCCAATGGCTGGCAGTGAATGAGTTAATATCTTGCCCAATGACATTTGGCCTGCAGACTGGGATTGATCCACCATCTACCTCGTGAGCTACAGCTGCCTATCTGGAAAGCATCTGTCTGACAGCAGCTTCATTAAACAGTAACCCCAAACACACTGCGAGTGCATTAAAAGCATACCTGATAGAAAAACCACACTATCAGGTATGGTTTGGCCTACGCAGAGCTTGGACCTTACTATTATAGAAGCAGTGTGGGATAAGAGAAGAGAACAGATACAACCGAAGAAGAATGTCCTACGTACTAATCCTGAAGATTACATGAAACATTGTGTAGGAGAGTTCAAGCTGTGTTGTAGAATGAAGGTGGTTATACTAAATATTGACTTTCAAGCTTGTTCAATTTGTACAAACTCAGGTTTTTTTGCCTTAAACGCCGTAATTTCATGTATTGTCTGTGAAGGTTCTCAGTCATCCAGGTCATCGTAGTCAAAGGAGCTTGCAAAGAAAACTGGAAAACACTAACATCATGTGGTCTGTTTAGTTGCTATTCTGGAGTTTTCTCAACAACATGGCTACGGTGTGGTGAATGATTATGAATGAACTTTAAAGTTCTCACAGATTAGTACTATTGACTCCTGGTTGTCTGCACCGTCCTGTTATTTTAGGGGAAGTTACAGAGCAGGTCACCTACTAATCAGATAAGTTGGTCGTTTGAACCCTGGCTGCTTCGGCCAGGCACGTCAAATATCCTTGGGCAATATACTAACACATCAAGTATATACATATTTGTAACCTGTCTCTGTGCTGCTAAATGAGCCAAGAGGAGAGATTTTTGTCTTAATGTCAGTGATATACTGGTATTCTACAGTTTCCTCTGCACAATGTGTGCAGTGTGTGTGTGTGTGTGTCTTACAGTAGCTGTAGATGGTCCTGCCTCCGGATTAAAGCATTTTTCTTGTTAACCAATGTGAACCATTCCTGAATCAACCGCTCCTCCTCCTCCTTGTCACTGCCTGTGGGGTAAAACCATCATTAATGTCCCGTCTTGGTTATCGTCTTCTTTGTTCTCTTTCTTAGATTAGAACATGGTGGGCAGGTAGAGCGGGTATTTTACCTGTTTCCAGCAACTGTCTGAGTTTCCTCTCCACCACACCTGCTCTGTTATCAATGTGATTTTGTTCTGCTTCCAAGGCTTCCATTTGATTCAGCACGTACTCGCTCGGGTCCTAGATACAACAATAATTACTCACTCTGCAGACGATGAGAGGAGAACAAAAGATTCTCCACAGACTTCCTGACGCACTTTACAAATTACAGTTAAACAGCTGCTTGCTCACCTGGCCCTCTGATCTTCTGTCCTTTAACGCAGCATCCATTCTCTCTGCATGAAAAAAATGTAAAAATGAGCCACCAATCATTCATCATTATGTCCAAGTTCTGTTGTTGTTGTGTTTTTGCTTTTAGTTTAAGTCAAAGAGAACTAACCAGTTTCTGACTTCCTTTGGGCTTCAGCCTGCAGAGACAAACAACATCCACACACAATGTAGATAAGACAAAGAATGACATTTCAAAGGAATAAACAACTCAGGGGAGGCAACATGAGGTAACATACCGCTGATATGTCTCCTTCTTCGACTGACCCGCTCCTGCGCTGTGACCTACGCTTCTTAACCAGGTCAGCATCTCTGACATGAGAGAAACTAGACTTGAACAGAAAATGAGTCCGTGGTGGCGCCACCGGAGACTGAGCTGCACTCACCCCAGCAACCTGCGAGCGTTTGGTTCTGGGAGGCGGCACCACGTCCCTGCTGGCTTTACTGTCCTTCTCTGCAGTGCTTACACTCCCATTAGTCTCAAGACTTATACCCTCCTCCTGGAGCCTCTGGGCGCAGTAGCGAACAGTTGCCTCGGGGTCGTCTTGGGCTTCCCGGTCCCCTGCCACAGCATAACTGGACTCACTGGTGTCTTTGTCTATGTGAAGCACACTGAGCTCCTGGCCAGTGAAATATGTGCGGATCTGGTTAAGGTAGGTCATGACAATGAGGCGGTCAGGCACTGCAAGCATGACCATGTCTGAAGGCTCCATCAACCTTGAAATTCCAAGTTCAGCAAAGCCATTAAAAGCCTGCAACATGTTCAAATACAAGGACATTATAAGGACTTCCCAAATATTAAGTAATCAGTACTTGTAATTTCATGAGAATATAGGAAACTGTTAACCACCTTTTTGTTGTTTTGCTTGATGTCATATGGATCCAACATTTCAAAATTACTAGAAAAAGACAAAACAGGGCAACATACCACATTTATATCTTTTAAGTTTTCATTGAACCTTTAATTAACCAGTATATGCACTGACAAAGATTATTTTTCAAGGAAACCTCGCCAAGAAAGCAAACCAAAAACTATAAAATCCTGTGCAATGTGTAAAACTAATTTAAAATCAAGCATAAAACGACACGTTAAGACTGAGCAAGCAGTAAGTACAACTAAACAGATAATAAAAAGCTACTCTGTATTGTGTTGGCACATGGGATCCTTAAATTTAGTTAAATCTGTTTCATATAGACTACTAGTATTTTTTTTTCACAGTGTTGTGCAAATAGAAGGCGTGAGTGGACAAGGGATGTGGAATGCTAACGTGCAAATAATCCCAGAGGAAGAGGTTGCATGAACGTCACAACGGACCTATGGAATCTTGGACACCCAACATCTAGACCAACATCAAAACAACTATTAGTTCAATGTACCAACATTCGAAAGAAGATCACGGGGAGATATCATCATCCCCGCCATCTGAGATTGGGTACCAAGCTCAACAGGTGCGTGAGTGCGAGAGCAGCTGATCTGAGAGATAAGATCGTGGCTAAACTGGAAACCCTCCGTGCCAGATTACCAAGACTATGTAAAGTACCCTCTGATGGACTAGCAGAAGGTGTGAATGCAGCTTTATGGACAATCCCTACTGCGGCCATCACTGAAACCAGCCAGCTGATCTACACCACGGCAGCAGTGATAATTGAGATGCTTGGGTATAAGACACACAGCAACAAGGAGCAGTACCCTCCATGGAGAAGGAAACTAGAGGTCAAGATGAAGGTAGCATGAAGGGAAGTTGGGCAACTATCGGAGATGGGGTGTCTAAGAAGTACAGCAAGCTATTCACACCTGAGGCCTTAGAAACTACCAAGCAAAAACTAATAGCCTTGGCCAGCTGTTTGAAGAGATATACCAGAGAGACAGAATCCAGGAGAATAAACCAGATGTTCTCAGTGAAACCATCCAAGGTGTTCTCTCAGTGGCAGGAGAACAATTTGAGAACAGCTCCACCAAGCCTGGAGACAAATACTCGAAGAGCATATGGGAGAAGGATGCAACCCATAACAACAATGCTCAGTGACTAGATGAGCTAAGAGCAGACCATAGCAACCTCCACGAAAAGAGTCCAGTAACTATCACAGTGGCAGGCATTCAAGAAAGAGTAAAGGAAAAGCAAAGATGCCCCTGACACAATCCAGCACATAACAGCAGGGAGCAAGATGCTAGCAGGCAGGGAATACATGGAACGCCATAACCAAGTGGCCGGAATAGGATACAGGAACATCAGAGCCTGAGGTCCTGAGGTCAAAATGGGACATGCCCATCAGGGCGGTTGAGAATGACCAAGCTTAGATCCAGTAGGACTTCAACATACAGACGGACAAACTGGTGATGGCTAACCAACCAATATAGAATTGGCTGACTACATAACAATCAAAGCACTACATTTTTACATATACAATTAGCATTAAAAGACAGAGAGGTAGCTAAACATTTGGCCAGTGAGCACCTGGAAAGCTGCACACAATAGCTGTCATTGCTTATAGTCAAGCTAAAAATTAAACTAGCAGTCCACAGTCTATCCAGTAAGGGTGATAGGGCAACTGTTTCTTACATCTTTTCTGGGTGGAAGTGGTGTAAGATGGCACAAAACGCGAGGCCGTTCCTCCAGGAAGTGCTGAAATTGGTAATCTTCACTCCCTTGTGATTCTTTGTGATCTCCTGACACCATTCCAGTAAGGACTGACTTGACGTAACTAAGGTCGGACTTCCCGGTGGATTCTAGAAAACACATTAAGATTATTTTGAAATTATAGTGACACAACTTTTGACATAAAGTGGAGAATTACACATTTTTAATTGAATAGGTTTAATGTGCATTAAACGTTAAGGAGTTTAAAGCTTTTTCAGACACATCCCCCGTTTTTAGGGGTCACATTTATTTAACAACAGTCAGAACCTGTTTTATAGACATGCCGAGGCTACTGTGTCATTAATTAATTAAGTAATTAATTTATTTGGGATTTTCTCCAGTATACAAATTGCCAAAAGTATTTGCTCATCTGTCTCCACATGCATATCACCATAACACCCCATTCTTAATTCATAGGTTCTAATAAGATGTCAGCCCACCCCTTGCAGTTATGACAGCTTCACTTCTTTTGGGCAACCTGGCAACCAACAAACCCAGAGCACATCTCCACTTCACTCTAGAGTCCAGTGGTGCCATGTTTTATACCACAGCATCAAATGGTTTGCATTGCACCTGGTGAGGTAAGGCAAGGATGCAGCGCTCACCCATTGAAACCTATCTCATGACGCTCCCTACACACTGTTCTTAAGCTAATCTGGAGGCCGCATGAAGTTTGGACGTCTGCTGTGATTGACCTCTGTGCAGTATGCACGTCATTCTCAATCACTTTCACTATGTTATAATATCACCAACAGTCGACTGTGGAATGTTTAGTTGTGAGGAAATGTCATGACTGGACTTGCTGCATGGGTGGCATCCTGTCACACAGCCATGCTGTGATTCACTGAGCTCCTCAGAGTGGCCCATTCTTTCACATATGTCGGTCGAAGCTGTCTGCATGCCTAGGTGCTTGATTACCTGTGGCCAAGGAACACCTGAATTCAATGATTTTAATAGATGAGTCAATATTTGTAGCAATATAAATCACTCTTTTGTTTCTTTAATAGTCTATATCAGGGCAATTGGATTACAAAGATCGTTAGGCCAGATTTTCAAAACAAGGAATTTGTACCAGCCAGTAAGCAGCAGGTTATTATAAATTTCAAACAAACACAATGTTTTGACAAACAAGTAATGTTCTCTCAATGTTTCTCTTTTAAATCTGGTCATAACTCACACGGAAATAAGCATTTTGATCATACCTGACTCAAGTGGAAGTAATACAAACTATTAGTGGTATTTTCCTTTCAAAATAAAATAAATGTTTTGATGACATCAGACCCAGCACATCTTAAAGAGTACTTAACAGAAGTAAAAAAGAGCTATCAATTCTATCAAAGCTATCAGTGCACAAACCCATAGCAGTAACACATAAATACAACATCTACAGCTACACACTGAGGGAACAGGTTTTTTTCTAAATCTACACCTGTGACTGGGCGTGGCTTGTTAGACAAGCCACATTATGTTGATATATAGAATACAGTTACTTTGAAATTCCTAATGGGAGACGTGACAGAAAGCAAATTTTGACTCATAAGCTGAGTCAGTGCAAACCAAAGGAAATGATGAAGAGCACCGTCAGTCAGAGAGCAACGAGAGCTGATTTTTACAGAGTTCATGTGTGAAAAACTCGAGTCACAGCTGGAACTTTCTTAACATCAGGGAACTGGTTTGTGTCAACATCAATCCAAAACTTTATTGGTCCGTTAGCGTGACGCTCTTGTGGAATGGCTCGTCTAGGTAGGGTTAAACTGACGGTTCTCATTCTCAGTCTTCTGCTTTTGGGTTGACAAACAAATGTTGCATCACAGACTACTTGTGTCACTTGTAGAAATACGTTTAAAACAACACACTGCATTGTGGGTAGAATATTGCACTAAGCTGCAGGAAGTTCTGTTGGAATTACTGAAGGCTTTGAAAACATGTTTTTCTCTGTTTTACTCTGTTTCTGGCAGGACCATGGGCAGCGGCACTTGGAGGTTGCTACTAAGCCACCATTTGAATAGGTTGGGTGTACATACAGCCCAACTCATAGTTGGCTAAAGGTCTTTTAGCTTGGTTGATGGTTTATAACCATCAACAAGCTTCTGGCATAATTCTAACTGAATATTTGGCCACTCTTCTTGTCAGTTAATTTGGTCAGCTTCCTGGCACAGACAGAGCTTTTAAAGTCAACAACTTTTCAGTAGGGTTGAAGTCAGGGGCCAGGGATAACTCAGTAGGTAGCGTGTTCACCCCCATGATCAGAAGATCAGGGGGTCAAATCCTTTGAATGGCTATCCTGAGGTACTCTTGAGCAAGGCAGCGTCCCTACACACTGCTACCTGATTGGTAGATTCACCCTGTCCACTGCTTCACTGAGTGAATGGGTTAAATGCAGATGACTAAACAATTTCCTACAGGACAACATCTTAAAATTAGTTTGCTTTTTCTATCCCAAAACTGGTTTTGACACATGATTGAGATCACTATTGGAACACCCAGTTGTGTGCAAGTGCTACCTATGTACGTGCTGAATTGAGGTAAAGTTGAAGAATTTGAAGGTAGTCCTCCTCCTTAATGTTTACATCCATTTTGTGGAGTGTACCAGTCCCACTGGCAGCAAAACAGTGCTCTTCGGTTAAAAAGCCTCACCTTTAAGCCTCCAAATATATTTCTTATCATTTTGTCCAAGAAGCTCATTCATAACCTCGTCTCACTGTTAAAAAGGGCCTGAAGTTTAGTGGTTCCTTGGTTATTACTGAGCATCTTAACAAGTTTCCTCCCATCTAAGCGTGACAGTTTAGGTCTTCTTCCAGACCTTGACAAAGTGGTATAACTTGTACTAATGTACAGTTATTTGAACTAATAATCTTGGAATCTGCCGTAATTTGGAAAAGGCTCCAAGAGACTCTCCCACATTGAATCTGCAGTTCCTCCTCCTTAGATTCACTAAGTTCCTTCAACTTGGTGAACTGAGTACTGAATATTTTTGTCCATCTGTTTCCTGCACAGGGCAGCACAGTGGTGCAGTGGTTAGCACTATTGCCTCACAGCAAGAAGGTTCAATTTCATGACTTTCTGTGTGGACTCTCTATGTTCTCACTGTGTCTGTGTAGGTTCTCTCCAGCTTCCTCCCACAGTCCAAAGTCACCCAGTTAGTGGGGTTAGGTTAATTGCTGATCAACCACAGGTGTGAGCGGTTCTTTGTCTCAATGTGTTACCCCTGTGACAGACTGGCAGCCTGTCGCATCGGGACCCCGGGACAATATATTGGATAAGCAGAAGAGAATAGGCCTCTGTATTACCTGAGCCAATGCCAGTGACACAATGTGCATTGACCACTGCAGAACCGGAGTACCAAAGGTATCCTCAGTTATCAACCTTGCCCTTGATAGCCTGTGGTAGACCCCTTTATTTTATCCATAACGAGCTGCTTAATCCTCTGGTAAATCTAGTCGTTTAACCTTTAGAGTTTAGAGTCATAATATTTTCACCTCCATGCTTAACTGTGGGATGATGTTCTTTGGGTTATACACAGCATTTCTCTTCTGTCAAACACAGCTGGTCAAGTTGATCCCATGGAGCTCCAGACCAAGACAAATTGATGGTCATTTTATATTTCTTCCATTTTTGAATAACCACACAAACAGTTGTCACCTCATCGCTAAGCTGCAGCACTACAATCTTGTCCTTGACATTTTTTGGCAGCTCTTTGGACTTGTCTATCGTTGTGGCGAGGTTGGAGTGGAAGAAAGTGATTCTGTGGACAGGTGTCCTTTATACACGCAATAAGCTGGGATGTGTCTGTAATAGATGTATTGACTGATTGCAATCTTGATTGTGACCTGCCAGCCAACTGTGGGAGTCACAATTCTAGCTGGGGGTCAAATACTTATTTATTTCAATGGCATAAATAAGGATTTATGCTTTGGTTGGTGTTCTGTCTCTCTCCATTAGAAACAAACCATAAAAATTTGAGAATGATTATTTCAAATGAGCAACATTTAAAATTCAGCACAGGACCAAATAATTATTTCCACTACCTCATGACTGGCTCGACTACTGGTTGTAGTTTAGTCAAAGGTGCACACCTTCAAACCCAGCAAGAGGCCTTTTGTAAATTTCAAAAGAATTCAGCTAAAATTTCTTTACTCCAAGAAATATATTACACCCAGTTATTTGATCAACTGTTCATATACAAATATACAGGTGAGTAAGCTTAAACGTACCTCCTGAGATGGAGATGTTGTTGGTTTCCTGTCCTGCTTAAGGGCAACAACTTGTGACTTGCTGTCATCTAAGGAAGAACAACTCAAATGCTTCTTATTCCGAGGCATCGGTACAGGCTGACCTGATAATTCTTCTCTTGTTTCCCTTTGCCTGGAAATACACACAAATACAAAGCAAATTATAAAAATGTAAGCATCTTTATTCTAAAAGAAATGATCTATTAGTTGCTGATACGTTTCCAGACCATGTTGCTAATTTAAAATCATTTTTGAGTTTAGTTTCATTTTTTTTAAGGGATGCAAACTTTAATGTAAAAAGAGAAAGAAAAATATATACACATCCAAGTTAAAATTTTCCCCCTCACACATCGTAATGCGTATTGACTAATCTTACCTGAACTCTGAACAACCTGCAGTGACAGACACAAAGCCAAAGTCCAACTCTTCATCTTTCTTTTCCTTTTTTAGTTCAATTTCCATTTGTTCACTATCTTTATTATGGTCTAGATGCAGCCAGTCATCCTGAGAAGCAACAGTACTTGCAAGGTGCCTATCGGTCTTTGCTTCCTGGACTGTCTCCATTACATACTGTTCAGTTACTGCCTCTACAGCCTTCTCACAGGGATCTGTAAAAACGTGTTCGTCTGTAAAAGTCCAGCCTTCAGTGGTCTCACCGAAATCGTGCTCTGTATCCTCTCCACCTGACTGACTAAACTCTTCTTGCATTGCTGCTAGAACTTCCTTTTCCAATTGTAATGTATTGTCATATTCTTGATGAATTGTGACAAAACTTAATTCAGATATCGTACTTGAATCCAGTGATGGTGGGCCTTCCTTTGATTCCTTGTTACTGACAGCTGAACTATCTGAGATTTCAGTGTCGTCTGGGAAAAAATCACTAAGACGTTTCTTTACTCTTGGTTTCGGCACTGGCAAACGTGAGAGTTTTACTGGAGATTCTGAAGAATTATTATCCTCTGCTTGAACATTTTCCTCATTGGTTAATCTGCTTTTCCTTAAGTGTACACCAGCCACTACTTCTGGTTGGTAAACTGGGGAAAGAAGAGGAAGGTCTTTATTATGTTCCACCTCTGACAGTTCTTTAGCTGTTGAAGAAATTTGTGACGGGCTACCATGCCTTGCTGACTGTGCCTGTTCTCCATTATCAGCTTTAGAGGCTCTTTGTGTAGCTGAAAGGTCACCGGAGAAGGTGCCACTGGAATGGATATTCGTACAAGGCTTTGGGATAGAATAAGCTGTTTCTGTTAGGCTTTCAGTTTCTGCAGTGACTGGTGCATCCTCTGACTTTTGAGGAGTTTTAATATTAAGTGCATCAATAGATGCGTCACAAGTTATTGCTGGTTGACTTAGTTCTTGCCTATCACCAACTGCTGCTTTATCAAAGTGGACTGGTTTATCAGAATTCGTAACTGTGACATTTAAATTCTGTGGTGTAATTCCCTTGTCACTCTCAATTGAAGGAAGATGTATCTCCTTAATGAGTGAAATAGTGCCAGTTTTCTCACAAAGCTCTGGTTTTGGGATGATATCGTGAGTTCTTTTGAGTGGGCTTGGGTAGGTAGCAGGTTGTGTAGATATTACTTCCGCATTAGCATCCTTGTTTAATGACTCCACTGGGACAACTTCAGGAAGGCACTTGACAGATACACCATTAAATTTGGGTTTGTGGTCTCGGGTTAAACTATCTTTCTTTCTAAGAGGACGTTTAGGAACTGTGTTTTCACTCTCACACTCGTTCTGTGGCGGGTCTTGAACTTTTCTTCTTTTTGGCTTCTTCCCTCGCTGCGGTACTGAACTGTCACCTTGTGGTCCATCTGAACTAACGTTATGATCACGTGAGGCTTCTTCCAAGGCAACATCCAACATTACTTCTCTATCTTTAGTGGCATCTGTCAGTGTCTCGTTTGATGTGGGCTTCTGGGAGGTAGCATTATTTTCTTCCATGCTTATTTGTTCAGGGCTTAAGAAAAACAAAGGACAAACTTCAGAATCATCTGTTCTTAACTTTGTCACATATTTCTACTGTGCATGCAACCGCCTATTAAGACAAAACCAAATCCTGATACACAACAAGTCATTAGAACAAAGCTGCACATCCAGGAAACAAAGGTTAACCTTAACAAAGCGACCAATATTGCAGTTCCATACTCCAGTGTCAGTACTGGCTGACTTTACCATCACAAGCATCCTGAGCAGTAAGCACTCATAAGCCAAATAATAGAGATGTTATCATCAAAAATGTACACACCATGCAACCAGCACTCACCCTTTTTCCAGCTGACAAGAAGACAACACCACTCTAACCTCATCCTGTTCTACCTCAGTCTGCTGCCTTGGAAGTAAACCTTCAGTGCACATTGGTGTTTGAACAGCGACCTTCCCTGTGAGTAATCTTTCCTCTGTATCCTCCGTAGCATGGCCGATAGAAGCCTCACACCTGTCCTCGATGGGAATGGTGCAATTTGTAAAGACTTGAAAAAACTCATCCGAAGGGGTCATTGTTGCATCCAAAGAAGAGAGAGGCTTGGGTTGGTGATCAGCTTCAGCTAACCCAGAGTTCGATGGCCCCAAGATTGATGCTACAGTTTTGTAACTGAGAAATGAATTCATATATGAGTGAATGAAAACTAGAACTATGTATAATTTGTCTCCTCTATCAGCATGTAGCTCATTACAGAAGCCAGTAAATATTGGCGATGTGTTCCCATGCAAATGCAGCCTAGTAAAGTTTTCACTTCACTTAAAACTACACATTTGAAAATTAAGGGAGTTTAATATTGTGGTGGGATGTTTTCTGTGGCTTGAGTTCAGGAGAGGGGTGGTGGAGTGGGTTCAGGGGTCAGTGCCAGGAGAGGCTGGTTAACCTGGACCTGGAGCGGAGGTGGAGTCAGAGTCACAACGTCACCTGTGCATGTTGGCACAGTGTCAAATAAAGTGAAAACTGCATCAGAAGCACAAGCAGTGTGCAGCATGTCGGGACTACGACAAAACGGAGTATGTTACGGTGGCGCCCAAGTTCCCGACATGCTGTGTACCCATGACCCGTGCAGCCATGGAGATGCTGGCTCAAATGGTAGCTGAGCGAGCAGGACAGGTGCTCTACACCATCGGCCCTCCGACGCCCTCCCCCAGTCCAAGAGCGACGTACAAGGCTGCAGTAAGGTGCTAACGGAGTACACAATGGGCTATGGTGGATTCGAGCTGCAAGCAGACCCTGGTTCACCAAACCTTGTGTTGACCGGGGGCATTGTTGGAAGCAGAGTGGGTGGAATTTAAGAGTGTGGATATCCCTTAATATCCCATAGTGCTGGTGAATTAAATGCACCGACTTAAGGCTGTGGTTAGCTCCCGACTTTCACACCCTGGGACCAGATTTGACTGGATTTAGAAAGCTAATGGGTGTCTGTAGGGGTGACATGTCAGTTTAATTCAATGGAATTGTATTTATATAGTGCCAAATCACAACAACAGTTGCCTCAAGGCACAGCATGCGGACTCTAGCGACATGGAAACAACAGGGCCTTCACTGGAGAACCCGCCGGTTCCAGTGATTCGCTCCATGGAATATTTTCCACTAGAGCATTCTCATAAAGATACTACACTCAGCTTTGACCGAGTGATGAATGGTTTTCTCTGGGTGCCACTTTAGCTCACTGGGATAAGCATGCAGCCATATGCCGTACAGCTGAAAGCAGCTGGCCCTGATTCTGACCCGTGGCCTTTTGCTACATATCTTCCCCTCTCTCTGCTTTCAATTGATACATTAACTGTATCTATTGAATAAAGCCAAAAAAGTGGTCTGCCTAGTGCATCCTCCACAGAATGTCTTCTGGTGAACCAGCCTGATTAATCTGTTAAGGCCAGCGTCTACCACCCTGAGAATGACAAGCTGGTGGAGTCGCTGAACAAGACAAGTCAATGAAGTCAAGACAAGGATGAGAGTAACTGGTATCACTGGCTAGACTCCACCGAGTTTTCTCCCTTTTAGTTGCTGTTTGGCAGAAACCCACAGGGAGTGTTGGACCTGATTAAAGAAAAATGGGATGAAGGTCTCACCCAGGGAAAAATAAAATTCAATACATCCTGGACCTGAGAGCAAGGCTTTAGTCCAGTTTCCACAGGAGAATCGCCCCCCTGCCCAGTAACATCAGCAGTGGCTGTACAATAGAGGGACTAGGCTAAGACATTTTGTATTGCTCCCTTCATCAAGCTCACAATTACTCACCAAGTGGCAAGGACCCTCGGTGGTCACACGGGGAGTGGTTGATATTGACTATGAAGTGGTGCGGTCAGACAGGGGTGAAGCCACACAAATATACCACCTCAACCTCCTAAAAGAATGGAGAGAGGCTGATACTGCTTCTCTGGTGAGCTCGGTTAAGGATTGAGATGAGTTTGAGCCCAGCGTACCAAATTCAACCATTGCCCCAGCTTACCCCATGTCCCAGGTCGACAAACTCCTAGACCAGTTGGGCACTGCTTGCTTTTTCACAATGCTGGATTTAGCCAAAGGCTACTGGCACATTCGCTTGTCTCCAGAGTCTACAGAAAGAAACTGCCTTCTTCTCTTCATATAGATTGTACCAATTTATTACAAGGGCTGGGGGCTTTTAGTCCCAGCAGGTGAGCGGGGTTGACCAACGTGGACGAGGCTGACTAAAAGAGCCAGCCTGTGGATGTTGGCACATAAAGATAAAGTGAAAACTGCACCGTGAGCACAAACAGTGTCACAAGTCTAGAATGACCTGGACACTGAAATATCAGACTCTGTCTAGGATTATTAATAAGCAACCCATGCTTTATGCAGTTGGTTTCAGTTTGAACACTTACCCTTTGTGGAAAACACCCACAATAGCACCCACTAATCCAGAGATATCTTTTTCCTTTTCTGATAGAGAGGATTCTCCTTTTTTTTCTGTTATTGTTCCTTCAGCTTCCAATAGTTCCCAACCTAAGATTCCCACCAGCTCAGATCTTTCCAATGGTTTCTTCACTCTTAGGTCTTCCTCTGCTGTCCTCTCTATTTCAGATTTTCTGAGGACCCGGATATAAAGGATTTTAAAGCCTGGCTGTTAAAACTTAATTAGCACTAAAATTATAATATCATGAAATTCAACGTCATATTTGTTGTCAGTTTACCATGCAATCTAAATTTGCTGGCCGAAGCAGTGCATGTTAGGCAAACACTAAATGCAAAAAACGCAAGAGCATCAGGCACGTCCACTTACCTATTATCTACATTAAGTTCTATGTTTTGCTTGGCACCAATTTTAAGTTTCTCTTCTGTTTAAAAGAAAAATCAAATGGATTAAAATGTATGGCAAAGAAAGATAACTCCGAGCTTTATATTAACATTACAAATGTCTCACCATATGAAAGTTCTGTGCTTGGACTGCTACCAGGTACAAAAGAAACACCAGGATTTCCTGTGTCTTTGAGATATGACTCTGCATGAGGTAATTCTTGCAAGGTTTGCTTCTTAGTTGCAGGTGGCACAGGCTTTGTTTTTGCAGTTGGATTCAATTGCAAAATACTGGGGAACCCAGGAGTTTGAGTGAGTTTTGGACACGATGGAGCCATTGCTACCATGTTCTTAACTTCATCTTGCTTATGGTCTTGTTTTGCAGGAAACTCTCCAATGCTAATTCTTTTATTGCGTAGGTTTTTAAACAAGATCTTGTTGAATGTTGCCACGGTTTGTATGTTCATAGATTCAGCACTATGCCTTCTGGCTGATGGAAAACCTGGGATGCATGAAACACATGGAGCAGAAGAGTTTAGGCTGACCATATTTGGTGATTTGTTTGTAATTTGAGCAGACGGAAAACCGGATGCTCTGGCTTTTTTGGGGCAAGACCCCACTTGTGCTATCATGTTTACGTTGAAGCAATCCGACTTGACCTGTTGAGTAAGTACCACAAACATTTCTGCCATTTTCTTCTGAGGTCTTGACAAAATAGATTTTGTTTCACTTAGCCAACCTGTGCTTGGTACTGGAGTCATGGATGCAAATCCCTTGATACATGAAGCACTGGCACAGTAAGGTACAAAACTTATTCTGGATTTATTCTTGGAATTGTAATGGGGCGCAGACTGGAATCCAGGGATTCTGGAGTTTTCTGGGCAAGCTGGCGCCATTAAATGCATAATCTCTGCATTTTGATTTGGAACATCTTTAAGAAAAACTGTCTCCTTTGGATTTTTATGCATAGATCCATAAGTATATGGATCTAAAAGCCACTGGGATTTTAAGCCCACTTTGAGTGAGGCAAACCCTGGCAAACTTGATACTTGCGGGCAAGCGGGTAGGAGAGTTAGGATATTGTATTTAGTGACAGTAGGAAAGCCTGGAATCAATGATGATCTTGTACACGATGGAACTAAAGGAAGCATGTGGCTTGGTTTGTCTATGATCACTGGTGAGCAGATTATGCTAAGATGAGTATTCCTTTGTGGTCTGTGCATCAGTAAATCCGTTTCAGATGGCCATCCCACGTTCAGATGTGATTCAATCGATGAAAATCCAGGTACAGCAGAAATTACTGGACACAAAGGAAGGAGGTTGACCATATTCAGGCCATGAATTTTGGGACATGGAACAGATGGGAAACCAGGAATACTTGAAACTTTGGGACAAGTTGGTAGAAGGAAAACCATTAATTTCATTACTCTCTCATTACTTGTCATTTTGCTCTCTCTGTCCATCTGCTTGTCTTTCATTCTTGGTTCAAACAGTGGTTCCTTGCTTATTATCCAGTCTTTTGAATCATAATATGATGGAAATCCGGCTATTTGTGACAGTTTGGGGCATGAGCATGAAAGACTGACCATATCTGTCATATCTGCAACATTATACAATCTGGGATTTGGCACAGAGGGAAACCCAAAGATGCACGAATTCCTTGAGCAACTTTGTGCAAGAGAAACGATTCCATTCATGTTTTTAGGTATTTTATCGAGCTCCATTACTAACACGAGCTCCCTTTCAGACGGCTTCTTCCACAATGGTTGATGAATGCTGTTCCAGTTTTTGCTGTCAGCTTGTAATGATGGAAAACCAGCTATACTGGAGACAGTAGGGGAAGATGGAAGGAGACTGAGCATTCTAGACTTATTACAGATTACTGTCGGTGCAAAAACAGATGGAAATCCTGGGACAGAAGCTTCTTTTGGACAAATCGAGGCAAAGGTTGACATTACCTTCATTTCACCATGGTCAAGGCTATATTCAGTCATTATGAGGTTGAGTTTCGCTTGTTTTACTGCTAAAGGTCTAAAATCTGTTATCCAGTTTTTGCTGAAAGGATTCTCCAATAATGAGGGAATGCCTTCAATTAGAGAGATTTTTGGACAAGAACCTAAAATGCTGTTTTTAGCCAATCCACACTTTACTATAGTAGATTGTGGAATCACGGTCATGTCTGTTATTGAGGAATGCTCTGGACATGTTGGCGTCAAAACTCCCGGTTCTTGAATTCCATCCTTCTCTCTTAGTAACACTTCTCTTTCAGTCATGGCACTAAATTCTTCTTGCGACATCTTTGATCTGCTATCAATAACAGATTCTGAGCCAGGTATGCTGCATACATCTGGACCAAAGTGATTTGTATAACTGTATTGAGACACAGATGGGAATCCTGGATTTCTAGCCTTCCTGGGGCAAGAGCGTGCCAGTGAAACCATTTCCTTCTTTTCACTTTCATTCTTCTCTAATGAAGATGGTGGTAATATTCGCTGTATTTGAGATTGTTTCTTCCAGATTAGCTTTCGATCAACACGCCACTGTTTTTCATAATCTGGTGGCATTTTGGATGGCATGCCAGCAATGTTTGTCAACCTGGAACAGGTCCCCAAAAAATTAACCTGTTTATAGCCCGTTTCAGGCGCCACACAACTTTGCACACATTGTGCACTAGGCTGGCAAACATTTTTATCTATTTCTAGATATACGTCTCCTTCTGGGTGAAGAGCAAGTTCTGTGGTTGCAACTTCAAAATCTTTTGATGACTTTTTCCAAGTAGATTCATTGTGCACAAGGGATTCAGATGTTTGTTCAGAAGTAGTAGGAAATCCAAATGTGCTGCTGATGGTTGGGCCAGGCAACAGTATCCCAGCTTTTCTATTTGTCTCCATCTGCGTGTCAGCCATTTCTTTCATCATCTCACTGTCTTTCTGTGGTGCTTTTCTAATTTCCTCTGTAGTCACCTTTGGTAGCTCTTCCCACAGAATGATCCTGTCTGCAGGATAACTTTCTGTAGTCATTTTTGGTAGCTCTTCCCATTGAATGGTGCTACTATTTGGAGGTTTTTGTAGTTGCTGTTCAGCGTTATTTACTTGGGTTTGGGATAGTGGTTTTGCAGCACCAATCGAACATGTTGACTGCAGTAAAACCACGTTTTCATCACTAAAGAAAAGGTAAATACAAAGTCACAGTCAATACTCTACAGTCAAGGAGGAGGATGCCACAATAATATAATAAATATATTAAATCATTTTATTAAAGATCAATGCAATTCAAGTTCATAATCTTCATAATAATACAGTGAAACTCTGGTACAGGGTTACGGTCACTGTGAAGTAGATATAAATCTTTTAAAATCATTTTAAAATCATTTTTTTAAAATAACACGCTTGAATAAAGCACTGTTACTACTCTTTGTTGCTTTAATAACTTCATAATGTCATGCATGGTATTCGACAAATGCATTTCACAACAAACAGTCCAGTACTAAGACACCACACTCAAGAACTGCACCCCACAAACAAAGCACCAAGTCACAACATTTTGCTGATGATGATTCCACAGCGACTGTGCAACTTTTTTTTTTCCATTTCTTCTGACTTTGTTGCAATGCATAGTCTTTGATTACTTTTTTATTTGCTTTATATTCAGTGCTTTTAGCTGCAACCAGTGTTGCTCAGTAACATCACTATTGTTGGAATAGTGACAATAACAACAACTGAAGCTCATCTCATAAAAAGAGCATAATTAATGGCATCCAGAGCAGAGGTCAGGTATCACGCTCACATACACTTACCTGCTCTCACTGTTTCACTGTTCCTAGCATACCAGTAATACCATAATCTGACGTAATGGCAACCAGTGACTCTGAAAGTGACTTCAGTGATCTCAGCTCCTTTGGCAACACTCTCTCTCCTTTGTAACTTTAACTTACTTTATATTTTTAGCAACCACAAAAAAGTTCAAAACTACACAACTGATGCAAACTACAAATAAGAATTCTGCCAGCTGGTGTTTAGCTGTAACAATGTATCACATCACTGCATCACAATGCAAAGCAAGGGACTAGCAATCACAAATAGTGGCCTGTCAGGAATTGAGTGGCACATTTTACAAATCACATTTCTAAAAGCAGAATCAAAAAGCAGAAGTTTCAAAAATTTCACCCAGAAACATCAAACAGGGAACTCAAACACTGTTTTTAAAGCAACCGCTTCATCTTCTTAACATGGAGTCTAAAATCAGATCTAAAATCTGATTGGTCTGGCCTTTTCTCATAACTTTCCAACCCTGTTCAGTTGAGATGATGATTGGTTGACTTGAATTTCAGCAGCCTTGATGGGAAAGGTTCATGACTTCTTATGCAGCTTGATTAGAGACAATATATCAGGCGTAACTCGACTTGACAGAAGCCTTACTAAAGAAATGTTCTTTCAGTGGATGTTGTTGACTGTTTCCTTGAGGTGGATGTAGCTGCTCTGAGGTAGAGCAGGTCATCTACTAAGGTTAAGGAAGATTAGTGGTTTGATCCCAGGCTGCTCCAGTCTGCACACCAAATATCTTTGGGCAAGATACAAACTCCAAGTTGCTCTCCGATGCGTCCATCTTTCCAAAGCATGCCACGCATTCTGTGAATTTTTTCGGGACTCAAATAGCATGGGGTGGTTTTATATATTGTAATAAAAAATTGCATTTTTGCAATTAGTGCAAACTCAAAAAAAATTTATTGCACTAATTTTTGCAATTAGTGCAATTTATTTTCTTGATCTCGAGGCTGTTTTGTTCATTCTTTCTTGTAGACCGCGTTGTTGCTCAGTAAATACATGTTCTTCTTACAATTATGACACTATTATCATTTATTAAAAGCAACACTTCCTGAGTCACATTAAACATTATGTAATAATAAATAAATACTTTTTTTCTATTCCCCACCAGAATCATCTTCCTGTGTAACTCTTTACAGTTCAGGTGCTATTTTTAAATCACTTAAAGTGAGTCCTGTTTTACCTCCTCTTGTAAAGTTGAATACTTGCAGAAAATAAACTAAATGTGTGTTTTTTCGGTGCAAGATTTCCCGTTGACGATCGCTGCTCATGTGAGTCTCTGAGCTTTCAGCAGGTTATTTGATGAATACATCGTTCCCAGGCCAAAAAAGGAAAATCTCAGTTGCATGGTGAGACCACGAGCATGATCGTTGTTTATTTCAAAATTCACTGGTTTGTTTCCTAAATTTGTCTCACGTGGACAACAGTGAAACTGTTGCATAGCATGCCAGCATGTAATTTTGTTACACTGAAAAATTGGGGATTTGTTGGTCACACAAACACAATCTTTGCACACCTCACTACTCGGATTTGTTTCACTGTGACTTTGTTAAAAAATGAAAATCCAATCAAAAGTTCTGACAAAGCACAAATGGAGAGAACATAACTTCCAGACAATGTCGTTACACAGCAGCTTCAAATAAAGTGGCTCAGAATTACATGAGAATATAACCTTAAAGAGGAAAAACAGTGTTTTTCATTTTTATAGGCCAATTAAACAAGGATAACTACACCTCATGAAGTACTCTCGAAACTAGTTTGATAGAACCATAAGCAAAAATGTTGTGATATGGGAACGTGGATTATTGTTAGACGATCGTGAAAACACAGCAAATGTTCAGAAGTGCCAAACTCAAGCAGCCTGCAGGAACAACTTACCCTGCTGATGCTTTGGCAGCGTCGAGTCCACACGCTGTATCTCTTTTCCTCTCTGAAGCTCTGACCTTCTCTGACCTTTGGCTGGCTGGGCCTCCAGGGTTAGAGGCTAATAACATACAGTTCAGAGAGTTAGCCATGCAGTCCGTACTGTAGGCCTTACCCCACTGAATGCTGACTTGATGCTTACCTGTGGGTGCTGTGCACTGGTTATCCTCTTCATTCAGGGTGCTCAGCTGTCTTTTGAACTCTAATAAGAAGGAAAAGCAAAGATACGATTTTACAAATCAAGCTAAAAAACGAGGTTCGTGTGCCATCACGCTAGCATAGCAGCTACACTCTTTTCTGTGCTGAACCTAACCATGTACCTGCATCATGTTCACAGACTGAAAGAGAAGGAAACACATGAGCAGAGGAAAGATGTAGAGAAGGTGAGGCGGTCTCTAATGCAGATGTGACCTGAGGTTTCCAAAAAGAAACATATCCAGACCCTCCGCTGGGTTTCTCATCTAAAGGCTGAGCAGTGGGCAGAGAAGATGAAGCTGACAGGAAAGAAAACAAGAAGGGAAAAACAGAGACGAATGAAAGAGAAGTACAGCAAGCAGCCTCTGATCAACATGGCAGAGTACTGGTCTGGGTTTAAAGTAGAGCAGAATTACATGGCATCTCTAGTCTCTGCTTTTTCTGCAGAAGTGCAGCTTGTCCAGGATCACTGACAAAGGGATGCAGAGACGTAGGAGAGTGGGCCAGCTGTGCTAGAGGGACCTGAGATTTAGGAGGCCTCCATTCAGTCTGCCAGGAAGCTGGAAAACAAAGGGGAAAACATGGGAGGACAGAGTAAGGAAAAACCAAAGGTAAAGGTCAAGTAAAGGGTGTGGAAAATATCTGCTTGGTCTACACTTTAATCTCTGTCCCTTTACCTGACTCTGGGGAAAACGGTAGACTTGTAGGTTTGATATGGGCAGACCCCATATCAGACTCTAGCAGAGGTGAGGCAAGCTTTTCAGAGGTGGAGCAGGCTTTGAGAGCAGGACGTGGCGGAGGTATAGGGAAAGAGCTGAGTAGAGCTGAGGATGATGATGAGGAAACAGAGGAAAAAGAAGGACCACTCTGCTCTCTACGTGCACTAGTACAGGCTGAGAAAAGAAAAGAAAAGAAAAGAAGAGAAAAGAAAAGAAAAGAAAAGAAGAGAAAAGAAAAGAAAAGTTATCGCTGCATTATTGTGATAATCAAGACAGCAAACTTTTCACATGTGAAAATATACAAGGGAAGCTTACCTGTGCATGCAGAGTACTACATATAACATCGGCTGCATGACACACTACTTTGTGTAAAACACTACATTTGGCAGCAGTTTGACAACTTTCCAAGGATACATTTAGTTTTAGTATTTAACATATGAAAGTATTTATTCTGCAGTTATTTTCAAAGCTATGACATCAGAGCTCTGTCAGTGCTTAATGTAATGGTCTGTTCTCAAAATAGATTCAGATCAGTAAGTCTCATTCTCAATATGAAAACTATACTTCTAATGATGGGTCCACACAGGAAGTGACCAGCAGTGACGTGGGGCCAGAGGCCACTGAGACAGGAACAGCCTGTGAAGCAGTGGGTCAACTTTATTTGTGAAGCACTTTAACCACCTACCAACATGCTCGGCTTCCCTCTATCACATCTCAAGGCCAAACTGGTTTCATCATAGGAAGACATGGATTCTTTGTTTGGAATATTGTGCAAAGAGAAACTGCTGAGATCTATCCTGATTTAAATCCCATGTGTAGGCTGGACGGAGATATTTAAAACACTTTTCAGGTTTTTGGGACTCCTGCCCGTCCCGTCTGCCCAACAGATTGATTTTCCCAAGTGGACCACCACAGCTTTTGCTATAATGGTCCACTTGACTGGCATAGTTTGTTCAATTTTTATTATTTAGATTTTATTACAAACAGAACGTACAGGACTGGGGGGCCAGGAAAGAGAAAGACGAGGGGGAAAGAAAAGAAACTGAAAATCTGCTCGATCACCTGCTGAGAAAAAGAAACAGCACAGCAGGGAAACCACAGCACCAACCAACATGAGCATCAGTTACAGTGAGCAATAAATATCCAGTGTTACTGAGCAGCATACAGAGCTAATAATGCATGATATGTTTAGACCACGATAGTGTGTGTGTGTGTGTGTGTGTGTGTGTGTGTGTGTGTGTGAGTGTGTGTGTGTGTGTGTGTGTGTGTGTGTGAGCTTGTATTCTGCTTGTATTACCACTTGTCCCTTAACCGAATTGATAACTTATTTCCTTGTTAATTTACAGTTAGCCATAATGCTTTAATTTATACATTGCTGGTGTAACTTTGTTTGACACACTATCCTGGGTTTGTTTGTGGTAGCAGCAGTTACATCTATTACATCCATGCATATGTTTTAAAGCAAACACTACTAACCATCAGGTCATTTGAATTGTCTTCTGTTCACAGGCAAATGTCCGGTAAATTATGTTTCTTCATATTGCTTTGGTTATAATTACCATGTTTGTCCATGTATTCAGGTCCTATATTTAAGACGGGTATATGGGAAGGGCCGCCAAGTATTTCCTGTTTATACCCACATAGCAAAGTTGGTATGGCCCTGATCTGGCCCACACAATGTGCTTACACATGGCCCACATGCCGCAAAGAATGACGGCCCTTTGGTGGCCCAGATCTGGTTTGCCAGAGGTGGCCCACACATGGGTCAGCACAAGGCCAGTTGCAGACACACTGCTGGCTCAGATGTCAGCCTAATGTGTACCTTAATCAAGCCATGTAATAACAACATGTGCCGGAACATAATAGTGCAAAAGTAACATAACTCTGTTCTTTTATAGCGCTTTTTTGCTCTCCCAGATTACTCAAAGTGCTCTATGCCACATTCACCCACTTTCTCTAAACTGAGTGCTTCCTAACTGCATTCATTCACATTCACGACATGCCGACTGGAGGAGCCAGGGATTGAACCACCAACCTTCCGATCAGTAGCTGACCTGCTCTTCCTCCTGAGCTACAGCCACCCGGTGGTGACCATGAGTAAACCGTCACTAGGTTTTGGATAAAGTGTAAACTAACAAACCTGTCAAACCTGCATTTGAAACGTTGGCTACCATAGCAGTATAGTATTGCAACAAGGCATTTGGGTCCTCTAACTAAAATAGGAAAACAGGAACATGAATAGTGCCATAACTGCCAGACCTGGCCCACATCTGGTTGACATACACCCTGCCATGACACCAGTCAGTCAGAAGTGCCAGCTTGATGCCGGATCCGGGCCAGACCTGTTTTCTATGAGCATGCAATCACATAGACAGTGCCATCTATGCCAGGCCTGGCCCATATCTGGATGACATACGTCTTTTCATGGCAGAGGTCAGCCAGCAGTGCCAGCTTGATACCAGCTCCGGGCCAGACCTGCTTGCTATGTGGGTATAGGGTCATGAGGTCATTAATTGCATCACTGGGTGTAACCAAATGAAGTTTTTTTTTCATTTTGTATTGATTATTTTCTTTAAAGTAGCCTTTTGAGTTGTACTTCATGCAGTGTTTTACTTTTCAAACCATTTAGCTGAGTAAATGAGTTTGTCAATTTCATGCATAATCTTATTCCTGTTCTTTGTTTAGAATTGTATTGTTTGGTCCGACCTATTTGTTTCGATGGTAGAGACTAACGAGGTTCAGGTGTGGATAAAATCCTGTATAAAGCAAGTGGGATTTTTTCCTACCAGGTTGATTGTTTTATGGAGATGCCAGAAATAAAGTATATTTAAAAGAAGCTTAAATAGTCTGCTGATGCTGTTTACTTATCACCTTCCTTGCTGCTTACGTTATGCTACTTCACAGTATCTAATAATGGGCGTGGGGAGCTAGAGGGCACGGGAACTCAGTCCTGAGTTAAACCTTTCTCAATTCCAAGACAAGAAGCAACTGCCAAGATAGCCAGGATAGCATTGGCTGGCTAGGACAGCACATCCATGAAATGGTTACCCAGGCAACCTAAGACAGGAACATCAGCTGAACACCAACTAAGCAACAAAGCAAAGTATCACTTCCTGTGTGGACCCACCTTTAGTTTACCTGTTGCTATCAGATTTTATTTCCTTCATACATTTTATGGTATGTTTGCTTAAATGGATGTTTTACCCTGAAGTGCAGCATTACCCTAAATACATAAATACCAGTTTACATGATGCATCTACTCTAATGTCAATACGAACAGAGCAGAACGGGATTCCTTGCAAACAGCTTTGTTTTTTCCAAAACAAAGCTGTTTGCAAGGAATTTGAGGATTGAGGGAGATAGAAAGATGGATCAGAGGGTAAAGGGGAATTTTGAAGAAATTAAAGAGAGGAAACCTTGGGCCTTCAAGGCTTCAGTTGAAGAGGAGCCAAAATGGAAGCTTTGGGGCCTTTGAGGAGCTGAAATGTCCATGAGACGCCAGCAGAACATGTCCAGGAAGCGCCAGAATCAGAAGAGAAAGGGAGCAGTGTGAAGATAAAAGACAAATAACGAGAGCAAGTGAAAATATGCAGACTGTTAACTACGCTACAACCAGAAGACAGGATTCACAGCATTTATGAAAATGCACATGAGAGGTGAAGGAGAGAGTGCAGGCAGTGGAGATGAGTTTGATGGCAGGAGTAACCTACAGCCTCACCTCAGTTGTTGCAGCATTAGCTATAATAATGACTTCTAGCATTATAATAGGATATAATGAGAAAGAAATATCAACAGTGAGCTGCAGTTTTATCCTAACTTTACTAAGAATAGGTGTAAATCCATGAACATACACTCCTTTAACAGAAAGTGCTTCAGCTCTGCAACTGGTGCAACAGATGCATTGATGCATTAAATCAAATGCAGATAATCCCTTTAAAAATGGGCTCTCAGGGTCAAAGAGAAGAAAGGGAAGCACACAAAACTAGTAACATCTGTTGACGAGTACCTGATCCAACAGTGTGCTGGAAGATTTTGGGGAGTACAGGAAGGTGAGAGTGTGCAAAGGCTGGCAACGAGTAGGCATCGGGAGAGGGCCGAGCTTGCTGGGTAGTGCTCGGTGGTTGTGCGTGGGTTTGCAATGAGAAAGATGGAACAGATGGATCAGGGACTGGCAGTGACCGTAGAGGATAAGATGGTGCTGAAAAGGTGGAAGAAATGCCAGAAGACCTTTTCCTATCAGTCTCTGAGGTCACTGAGTGAAAGATATGACATGCACAGGGATAAGGGAGAAGATGGAAAATAAAGAAATGAAATAAAGGTCAGCAGGAAACAGGAAACAAGCAGAAATGTAAAAACATAATGACATGTGTACTCCCAAACTCCCAAACTGGCTCTAATAAATAAAAAGGTCAGGTTGGACACTGATTTTAACCCATTAAATCAGTTTTAGGCCAAACCTTTAGGTCAAATTAATGCAACTCTTGTTCCAGGGGCACAATCGAAAAATTGCAATGGTTTCTAAAAGCACCAACTCTGTGCTTTTCAGTGATATTAGGGTCAGTATGGTCCTCCCAGGCAAGGCGCCACATCCAGATCTTGTCAAATAACACAGAAAACAACAAAAACAAAACAAATTTTTAAAAAAAACACAATAAAAAGAACCAAAATGCCTTTAAAATGTCTGTTTTCTGCAGAGCTCCATCACACTGACTCTCTCTTCTTTCAACCAAACTTTAATGCAACACCATGCCTGGCATTACCGTAATTACTCTAATAAAACTGAAAAGCACAAATCGCTGCTTTTAGGAAGCTTTGGAATTTTTTCATTTGAGCAAATGTTTCAGGAGTTACAGATGTTTAAAAAAAAACATTGGAAAATGTACGGCAACAGGTTAGGCTTTAGATCAGGGTGTCAAACTCCAGTCCTCGAGGGATGTTGTAGCAGTGACACATGAAAAGGTTTCAGGACACCGGCCCTCGAGGCCTGGAGTTTGACACCCTGGTTTAGAGGGTTAAAGTAAAGTCGCAGATGCATATATGAAAGTGGGTTTTTGTGTTATTTTTAAGAAAACATATGTGAGTGTGGAAAGTGGAAGAGAGGAACTGAAATGAGGAAGAGAAATGATAATAAATTCACAGAAGTGAGAATTACCTGTGGGGCCTAATTCAACTACAGGCCTCCAGGCCAGATCATGAACTCTTTCAGTGGGGGAAGCAGAGGCTTTTGTATGAAGAAAGAAAACAGCAGGCAGAGTGATTAAAAGAATGGAAAGCACATTTTATATAGGAAACCAAAAAGGAAGCAGCAACAGTTAAGGAATATAAGTTCAAAGAGAAACAGAATAGAGAGAAGGGGCATAATTTCCTCCCTCCAACATGAGTCTAAGCTAAAAACAGTTTCTAAAATGCTTCGTTCATGTGGCATTGATTCCATATCTACCAGAAACAGAACAAATCTGTTTGGAAGTGCCATGAAAAACATATGAGCCCTTTTCAAGATTTCTTAGTTTTTTCATATTTGTTGTTACAAATCAAGAAAATTTTAATATCAGACAAAGATAAGGAGAATAAATACAAAATACAGTGCAACACAATAAAGTTACGATTTCATTATTGGAACAAAGCCATCCAAACCTACCTGGCCTTCTGTTAAAAAGTAATTGCTGCCTTTATTAAATCATGAATTAACTGACTCCAAACCTAATAACTGCTCGTGCCACCCTTGGCAGCAAGAACTACAATCAAGTGTTTGCAATAACTGGCAACAAGTCTTTCACATCGCTGTGGAGGAATTCTGGCTCTCTTCCTTGCAGAGTTCAGACTTTTAGCAGATTGTTTTTTTAGTCATTCAGAGGTGGACTTGCTGGTGTGTTTTTCAGATCATAGTCCTGCTGCATTATTCGAGTATGCTTGACTTTCCTGCCCTGAACTGGAGATTATTTGATTTTCTGGATTCATGGTTCCATCAATCATAGTAGTCTCTGCTGGTACAGAAGCTTGAAAGCAGCTCCAGACCATCCCAGTACCACCTCCATTTCTGACTGTTGGTATCATGTTCTTTTTATTAAATATAACACTATATTTAGAGTTTTAGTAGTCAAACCTTCCAAAAAGTTAATCTTTTGTCTCATCAGGTCAGAGAATATTTTCTTAAAAGTCTTGGAGGTCATTCAAGTAGTTTTTTGGCTAATGTGAGACAAGTCGTTGAGGTCTTTGGGGTCAGAAGTGGTTTTTGCCTTGGAACTCTCTCATGGGCTGAGGCAGGTGAGGCCTGCAGTTTTTTAGATGCTGTTCTGGATTCTGTTAAGGCCACCTGAATGAGTCATGATGGTGCACTTAGATCAATGTTGTTGTTATAGGCCGGCCACTCCAAAGAAGGATCGCCTCTGTTGGTTGGCTAGATTCCCAAACCCTTAGAAATGGCTTTGAAACCCTTTCCAGACTGATAGAAGTCAATGACTACGTTGCTCAGCTGTTCTCCAGTTTCTTTCAGTCATGGCATGAAGTCCATTTTTTTCTGGTCAGCATCACTTTGTCACGCAGGTTCTAGTCAAGTGATTTCTTGATTCCTAGGTCTGGCAGTAATAAGGCCTGAGTGTCACGATATCTTACAGCATCCTGCCATGACACTGCGGGGCGACCGTGGCTCAGGGGGTTGGGACGCGTATCTGTAACCGGAAGGTCGCCGATTCGATCCCCGGGCTCTCTGTCCTGGTCGTTGCGTCCTTGGACAAGACACTTTTCCCTACCGCCTACTGGTGTTGGCCAGAGGGGCCGATGGCGCAATATGGCAGCCTCGCTTCTGTCAGTCTGCCCCAGGGCAGCTGTGGCTACAACCGTAGTTTGCCTCCACCAGTGTGTGAATGTGAGAGTGAATGAATAGTGGCATTGTAAACCGCTTTGGGTGCCTTGAAAAGCGCTATATAAATCCAATCCATTATTATTATTTGTCTCTAACCATCGGGAACCCTCATGTTAACTTTTATCGAGTGGAAAAAAGTTAGCATTCATTCTCCAGCTTCGCTGTGTTTATGTTATGGTAGCATAGCTGTGTCGCTAGCGATCACGTAGCACATCATTATATACCAGCTAGCCCAACTTCAGTAACCCTGCAAACGTCACTGCTGTTTAGTTTTCTGTCTTCATTCATGTTGGAAGTGATAGCAGAGCTGTACGTTTGAATTTTGTCAAAAATCTCTCAGTCAGAACATGCTATATCATGTTTAGGTGAAAGCTAGCGAGCTAACTTCCTGCTAGCTTCTAACTCTGTTAAATGTAACTAATCCTGTTTTTATGGATGCCTGGGTGTTAAAATTAATTGTTACACCTGGTAAAGCAGCAATGCTGATCATTTTATTAAAGATGAAAGATTTTAGACAGTTTTTAACTCTCAGTGATGTGGCTGTGTTCGTTTGACTTTGGGACCTGAAGAAGACAGAGTTTAGGACCCAGATTACTCCACGAGGCTCCTGACTACGGTGGCCGTAATGCTCCGACAATCCATCAAGCGGTGCGGCTTCATAGCTTACCAAAGTCGTACTAAAACATTTTTTGACAGATTTTTGAGCGCCGTGTACCACATAAAATCGATTTGAGGTCAGTAAGCACAACCAGAATTCATACATAAGGCGCACTGTTGATTTTTGAGAAAATTAAAGGATTTTAAGTGTGCATTATAGTGCGGAAAATGTGGTATACAGAAGAAAAGAATATATCGCGATATATATCGTTACCGCACGTGCTTCAAATTATACCACGATATGGATTTTAGGCCATATCGCCCAGCCTCAAATGGGAGTAACTACTTGTTCACACCGGGCAGGTAGATCTCCTTAGTTTTATGATTCATCATTTAAAAGCTGAATTTTATATTTATTCAGGTCATCTTTGTCTAATCCCAAAAAGTTCATTCTGGTTATCTGGACGTCGCGTTTTCAGTGGGAGAAACATTTCGTCACTCAAACATGCAAAGCACCCAGAAGAAATCAGGAAGGGGACAAATACTTGTTCATGGCACTGTATGTATTAATTCTGGTATTGTCTTTTTAGGTACATATTTGCACTTTAAATCCAATATTTCTAGCTGCAAATTTTAAAACCTAAAAAGCGCAGGCATGCATTGACTCTTGTAGCAGAAAATATTACACAAACAAAAATCACTTGTAGAACTAACTAAGACTACCTCAGGTATTTATCCTGATTCATCAGACCAGACCACCCTATTTCATTGTCTTATCATCTAGTTCTGATGCTGTCAGGCCTTTTAGGTACTTCTGCTGGTGAACATGTACCAGCACTCTGACCAGTACATATCCATGCAGTCCCATATGCAGCAAACACAGAACCTGAACTTTTGGAGATGATATAACTGTTATCTAGCCATCATATCTGGGCCTCATCATTACATTTACTATCTGTAGGCACCTACTAAATGTGTGACACAGGTAAACCACAAGACATCGTTTATCTTCCAGGCTTTGCTTTTACCTAAAAGTTGAGTATTTTGTCTTCTGTCATTTTTAGCCTGGTTGAATCAGTGCACAGGTATCCTCACAAATCTTACCTGTAACATAAGTAACTTGTCCTGTTCCAAAGTTTGACCTTCTCTCTTCGCTGACTTCATCGTCGCTGTCATTAAAGTCATCCAGATTACCAATATCATTCTGTTTTATGCTCATAAGACTGGCCAAACTCTGCATGTCCTCATCTCTGTGATAAAACAAAGAAATCAGCAGACATCACTACCTTTATCCAGCTCCACTAATATTTTCACATACCTAACAGAAAGTTTTAGATTCAATGCAAAGCTGCTGATGTCACACTGGATGTTACACAAACTGCTGATCTGAGCGTGCTGTGCTCAAATGTCCAGATACAAATTTAACCCAACAGATTTTTATAGACCACATACGGCCATAATCCACCCAGTAAAACCTCAACAACTTGGACATTACGTTGGAAATCTGCAGAGAAAAGTAATCCTCACTGCTCCTGGAACGTCATAAAAAATAATAAATAAAAATGCTTCTTGACTTACGTGGCCTTGCCTTCCCTGAGAAAGATGCACGACAGGTTGAGCTTCAGTGTGGCTTCCACCACTTTCACAGAGAGTGGTTTGAGCGTCAGTGTTAAATCGTACTGAGCTGGTGTGGCGCTTGCATACTTCTTCATATTGACATCAGCTGATGCCAGCACTTTTTTACATCCTTTTGTCTCCTGATTTAAAAAAATAGAGTTCAAGTTTGAATGCACACACATTCATTAATCCCAAAGATAATTAGTCACCACTCAACAACAACAACACAACTCAAGGTCTAACCACAGTATGGCATAACATAACATTGCCCCCGCCATCTTTTTACTCAAAATATTTTTATTGAGTGATCAATACTAACAAACCCTTTCCTTACAAACCCCACAGAAGTTAGCTGCAACACCACTGAGCTTCACGTTCCCATTAACACAGACACACATCAGACCTCGATGGAATAAGCAAGTCAGTTAGTCAGCAGGAACATCCTGAAGGTTAGGTTAAGGTTAGAGAAGTTTGTCAGAAAAAGACCCCAGATTTGATCAAATGTGCCCTTTTGGTTCTGGATGGAGCAGTGGATCTTTTCAAGACTGAGACACAACATGAGATCAGCCAATGATCGTGGGAGGGCGGGGCAGCAGCCTTCCAACTCAACAACATGGCACGCCTAGCCAGGAGGGAACCAAAAGACCGCAGCCGACGTTTTGCCCCATTAATATACTGATCATCCTCACAAAAATTTGCCAAGGCAGGGTAAGTCCAAAACGTGGGTTAGTTTGGCATCATCAGACCTGCACCTGTTACAGCGAGGGTCTAAGATAGGATAGATTGTAGCTAATTTGGATTTAGATAAGTGGGCCCTGTGGTACTTTGAATTGCAGTAGGGAGTAGCACAGAGCAACGTGGAGTTTACCAAAGGAATGAATCCCAGACGACATCTGACATAGATATGTCCAACTCCCTCTGCCCCACCATCTTTGATAAGGGATTCGATGTGCTTTGGATCCTAAGCTGTTCTGGTTCTACTTCGTACTTTTCTTGTCCCATCAGTTCGGTACTAGTTAGTCACATAATCATCTTGCCATTGCTACTCAGTATGGCTGGATATGGTGAGAAAATCTTCTAATTTAGTTTGTTGTTCTTCCACTTTGGTCCCGTGTCGTTACCACAGAACACCTCTATGTCCTATTAGCCAGGTAGCCAAGTTTCAGGCCCCAAGTGTTTATGATCATACCACAATATGAAAGCTAGCACAAACAGATCAGACTTACATTCTCAATAACAAAAGTCCATTCTTTGTCTTCAAACTCCTCTGCAGTCGGTTCCTGTCAGAGCATAAATAATTAGCTGAATGACTAAATGACATATTCCCCATCTATAATCCATATAATTAATCAGCTCCATACCTTGAAGAGTGTGACCGTGATATCTAAACTCTCTGGAACCTGCCAAACCACCAAGCCTCTGTAGGGGTTCTGGATTCCTGGCTGCCAGCTGTGCAACTGACAGAACAGAAACAGGAAGCATCAAGAAAAGGCTGCAAATCACTAAAGAGGATTATATCAGTCCAAAATGGAAAATGTGGTACGTTTTAATTGCTATGCAAATTGGATGTGCAGCCTTCATGTATTAGGTCAAAATATTTAGTAATGACTAATCCCAGTGTAAAAACTACTCCATCTGTCAGATGCTCACGTAGAAACACTGGTTTTATATTATGACAAGTCAAATTTTGTTCTTAAGTAGCGCTGGCACAACTAGCTCCTTTCGGTGCTTTGTAAAGACGCTCGTTTGTTTCTCCTTTTATTACCTTTGTGCTGTGACGTCTGCTCCTTCTGATCCACACCACTCTCAGTTTGTCCGGTTGCCTGAATAACAGCAGAACGTATATTGTATTTTACTGTATTTTACTGTGTCTGGCAGCATACAATGAGTATATTACAGCAACAACTAAAATCCTTTTTCAACACAGACACTGTCTTACACACAGATAAACAAGTTAACCAGTTTCTGAATGAAAGTTTGACTTTCACTTCAGCCAGGCTGTAGATTTTCTTCTCCAGCTTCATGTTGGTAACAAGTCCCAGGCTGTATGTGAAATCTATTTTTTACAATAGACACTGACTCTGTTGTGAGCAGAAACACTGACATGTTTTGCCTGTTTCATTGCAATCTGTGTGGCAATGATGATGGCATCTAGGATTTGGTCAGACCTTGTGTAAAACACACAAGGACACACACACACACACACATACATGCCAAACACACAGAGGACAAAGACAAAAGGGTAACCTAAATGGACAAGAAACTGAAACATACAACCGCAATCCCAAAAGTAAGGACTCCCGCATCGACCGAAATGGGGATAGAAAGATAAACAGGTCGTGCCCGTGTCATAGCTGCTCACCAGCGCCGCCGCACAATCTTTCAAATGTTCTTTCAACTTTGGGAACAGGTGAAGTCCAGACTGTAAGGTGGATGGGTGATGACGTTTCAACCAAAGTTTTGCAACAGAGCGACAGTTTAACGGGCGACGTGTGGATGCGCGGTGTTGTGGAGAATGCTTACGCTCTTGCTCAGCATTTGTCTTCTCCAGTTCAGAAATGCCCTTCTGAGTTTTTCCAGTGTTTCACAGTGCCAGCCATCAAAGTCAACCAACAAAACCCCCTTTCAGTCCCAAAACACAGCTGAGCACTGTGCGTAAGCATCGTCCACGACACCACACGTCCACACGTCCACACGTCGCCTGTCAAACTGTCACTCTGTTGCAAAACTTTGGTTGAAACTTCATCATCCACCCTACAGTCCAGACTTCATCTGTTCCCAAAGTTGAAAGAACATTTGTTCAGAGGGCGATTCTACAGCATCGGCGATGAGCAGCTATAACATGGGCATTGTAAAACTACCAGGCTGATGCTCAGTGGACTGAGGCATAGTTGCATTATCACAAACAGGCATGGTGCAGGAGAGAGTGTCTCCTTTGAGTGGACTGGTTCTTATACAGCACTTTAACACAACCTGTAGACTCGATCATTCGCAAAAGCACTTTTTTCTACGCTGTTTCCAATCTAACATTCAGTGGATGCATCGAAGAGTAACATGGAGTTAGTATCTTTCCTGAGGATTTGGCATGCAGACTGGAGCACCATCCAACCATCAACCTAGTTAGTAAGTGACCACCTGAGCTACATCCCTCAACCCTCAGTGAGCGACTAAGCCCGTAAACTCATCAGAAAAGAGTTTACAAGGTCAAGGTTCAGGGCAGCTTTCCCATAGACATCTATGGGTTACGGTCAGGTAGGTTTGGTATACTTAAACAGGATGTTTTCAGGTTTAAGGCACCTTCATGTTCCTTTCAGTTTTCAGGCTGAAGCTGAGCCCATTGTTTCTACAGCCTGGGGTAAGACACATGCATGGGTGTGGGCGAATCATTTAAGCTTGCCATAAATGACATTTCTGTGGCATCACAATCATTGTACAAGTCTATCAGAAGAATGTTTTAAATATGGATCAGCTAGGCTGTATGCTCCTCAAACTGTGAAGCCTCCTCTAATATGGTTACACTGTAACACTGTGCATTTTAAAATGAGGTCGTTATACATCATTCCTGGTACCTGTGAATGTTTTCTTTCAGGCGCTTTTGTCTCTACAAACCACTGAGTTACTCACCACCACAGGCCTGTACATTTATAGGTCAGCACAGAAACATGTCTGTTATAAATAGTGCAGCAGGTGTTGCTCTAAGCTCTGTGAAGCGTGTTGTCCATGTCTGTTCTCTGTCCGTTGCTTTCATTCTCACTCATCGCTCACAGTCTCTTACCAAAAGCAGCTGGTTAGTTGATCATTTGGGCAAGTGTGCAACAGTTTTCTGCTTTACTCACTGTATTTGTTTTTGATTTAGAGCAATTTGGTTAAGCTTTATGACAACTTGACAACTTGTAGTTCTGGGAATCTTTTCTATTAGTTATGATCAAAATAGTTTTCATCAAAGCCAAATCAGTCCAGTTTTGGGTGTTTACATGATGAATCTGCCTATAAAAAACATTTATTGAGATCATTTTAGTCGGAGGTCAAACTGAAGCATGTTGTTAACTCTTGTTGCAAATTAGACAGTGTGACTGGGTGGTAGACGACCTCGGGGTCACATCTGGCCCTTTAGTTGTCTGCGTGCATATCTGCATGTTCAATGTCCTACTGTCGTTGTCTGGTTCTCACTGTACATGTCACTTCCTGTCTTACTTTGAAGGTGCCTCGTCTCATGCGTCTGATTGGCCCCAGCTGTGTTTCCCCCCGTTTCTCGTTCCCTCATTATCCTTGTATACTTCAGCCCTTCGTTTCACTCTGTCCGTTGTCGCGACCTCCTTCATTTCCCTGCTGTGTGTTCTGCCTGCCTGATTAGTTCAGGCGTCGTCCCAGTTTACTTAGTTTTATATTTCACAGCTGTGTCTTCTAAAATAAAGGCCTGTCTGTGAGTCTGCAGTGGGATCCTGTCCTGCCTGCTTCACACAGCAATTCATGACCCTGACATCAACAAATACACAGATTCTCCTTCAGCCCCCTTTCACTGGTCTGAATTGGCCTGATGTTTTCAGAAAGAAATACAGACGTATGTAAACCGTCTGCTTACTACATTACTCACTCCTTCACTGAGTGTCCTCGATCTGAGCTGCTAATCTGCATTACTCCTGATATAAAACTGGTTACTATTGACATGAACTGGCTGCATCTTTGTCCTACAGACATGACCAAACATTTTAGCAGTGACACAAAGTTTGTTTCTTATGCACTTTGCTGCTTCAGTTTTTGTTTCAAATAACAAGAAGAAGAAGAAGAAGAAGAAGAAGAAGAAGAAGAAGAAGAAGAAGAAGAAGAAGAAGAAGAAGAAGAAGAAGAAATGTACAATTATAGATCATAAGTTTCAAAAACTTTTTGCTGGGAAAGAAATAAAAGTTTAGTTTTAGTCGTGGTGTCAAAATCTTTGTCACCGTTTTAGCTTTGACATTTAACTTATTTCAGTGTTAAACTTTTGTGTGTGGTTTTATTGTTCCGGTGAATATCGGCTTTGATCTAATTGTCTTGGGATGAAATCCAGAAAAGAAAATCCTATGGGACAAAATAAGGGATGCTTAAAACCACCTCAGGCACTCTGACCTCAGAGATTCCTTCAGAGCCCAAAAAGAAAGGACGTGATTACATGATAATTACCTTTTACAGTGTGCTGTCATTAGATTTCCAGTAACACTGCCTTAACAGACACCACTGACCCCAGTACAGAGCATGCAAAATGTGACAAATCTCTCTAAACTACCACAAAGCACAAACAGTGTGAAAGGAAGGCCGGCCAAAATACAAGCCAGGGCCAGAAGACTGAAAACACATGTTGACTGAACAATGACTAACGCCAGTGGAATTAAAGGAACTCCTACATGCCGAACCTAAAACAGCAGCTCTAAAGCTAAGCACAATATCCTCTGTATACATAAACTGGAAATGGCCAAGAGGAACATGTTTCAAGCTTGTCCTGAACACTGAAAACCAGACTAATCATCCAATCTGTTCACGAGAAGAGAAATGCCGAGCAAATACCAAGATTTTAGATGTTTTCTGGAAGAGGCCAATGGGGACTGATGGTTCATCCATGAAGATGTCTCTGGCTCGTAGAGTCAGTTATAGATCTACCTCCTAAAGAATTTTCTTCACTTTGCAAAATATTGTAGTTTTTCTTAAAGAATTTGGCAATCATCATCCTAATCATGTACTCCTTTATACTCCTTTATTCTCATACTCAAGTTCAACATCTGGGATCAGGTCCAAATATCTGATCTGATTAATCTGTCGTGGAATAATGAGAGAAAAAAAGGTCCTTATCTTGCCAAAACAAAACTTTTAGTGACTGGGCCAGTCGGCTTTTTGGGTTCATTTAAGGCCCCGTCTCTCACTGGTAGACTCATTTAATAATTCTGTTATTTAGATTTGTGCACCATTACATGCTGATGTTTCACAATCACAACAACAGTGGTCAGTTATATTGTAAGGTAAAGACCCTCCACCCTATAAGAATAGTCAGATGACACTAAATAGTAACAGTGGGAAGGAAACAAACTCCCTTTTAACAGGAAGAACCCTTCAGCAGCATCAGGCTCAGGGAGGGACAGCTACCAGCTAACAGCCAGGACTCGCTGGAGGTGAAAGGAGGGAGACAGGACAAAAGCAAGCCAGCCCTTGCAGCCTGTGTCTATTGCAGTGTAACTAAGGGAGGATCCAGGGTCACCTGGTCCAGCCCTAACTATATGCTTTAGCAAAAAGGAAAGTTTGAAGCCTAATCTTGAAAGTAGAGATAGTGTCTGTCTCCCGAATCCAAACTGGAAGCTGGTTCCACAGAAGAGGGGCCTGAAAACTGAAGGCTCTGCCTCCCATTCTACTTTTAAATACTCTAGGAACAACAAGTAGGCCTGCAGAGCGAGAGCGAAGTGCTCTAATAGGGTGATACGGTACTACAAGGTCATTAAGATAAGATGGGGCCTGATTATTTAAGACCTTGTATGTGAGGAGCAGGATTTTGAATTCTGGATTTAACAGGAAGCCAATGAAGGGAAGCCAAAACAGGAGAAATATGCTTTCTCTTTCTAGTCCCTGTCAGGACTCTTGCTGCAGCATTTTGGATTAACTGAAGGCTTTTCGGGGAGTTTTAAGCCTTTAAAAAAAAATTAAGGACAAACGGCCATAATTCATATTTGTTTTTGCTTAATTCTTAATTGCCAATATATATAATCAGTGTGTGGGTGTGACACCAAGGAGCCACTAATCTGAGAGAATGTCTGACTTTATAAATGTATGATTAAATAAAAGAAAATGTATTGAGTATTCAGTTTTAAAGAAAAACAGCAAAAGAAAGTATTCCTGTAACTGGATTAAAAGGGATTGTGCTAAAAGATGTTCATGTAAGAATAAGATCATGACAGAGAGGTTGTATAAACTAATGGAACATAAGGAGAAATATGCGACTGAATGTTCATATACAATGAAACTTTCTATGGTAAGAATAACATGGAAAAAAAGAAACTGTAATGAAGTGATTTTAACTTTTAAAGTTAGTTTTAAATCATGTATGATGACAACTCAGACAGACAGGGAGAGGATGATGAGGTACGGGTGGACAGTGATTCCACAGGTGAGACCAGACGTTATCTTAGACGATGTGACATAAAAAGGGGGAGAAAGGAGGAGCAGGTATAAAAGCTTTGTGCAGAATAGATAAGAAGAGCAGTTCAGAGGATTGGACCTAAGATGTTCACAGCTGGAAGCTCCTCCTCATGCCTGGGTGTGCCCATCTCTCCAACCTCCTTCTTCACAAGGATCCGAACAAGCTCAGCATTAGCTTACAATGGGTTCATTAGACACATGTAACCGAGGTGATTTGATTAATATTTTCTGATTAGTATTATTTGGTTCTGCTTTTGTTTTGCTCCTATTATATTGCTTTAATAAAATATCCTTCGTTAAATGGTTTTAATTGTGGGCCTTTACAAAGGGACTGGTAAAGTATTCATCTACATCACCATGAATGACTCTTACAGGTTAATCCAGCCCTCCTCAGTCTTCCAGGACGCTAAATTTAACCCAGTTAGTTACCAAGTGCACCAATCTAGAGGGGAGCTGCAGTAACAAACGGGGCTGCTGGCAGCTGGGCCTGTACTGGCTCTGTCACAGGAAGAAGGGTAGGCATTCAGGGCTTTTCAGGCAGTTAGTACTGGGCTAATCCCCACACCCAGTAGCTCCATCTAAGCACTGCTTACTGGGTAAGACTCACAGCACCAGAGATTGGGGTTGGTTTTTCCCTCTACAAATAAAACAAGCTTTTTTACACTGACTCTTTGGAGATGTTTTGAGCTAAAGGATGATTGGAGATCGACCTGCAATTAGCTAAGACAGCTGAGGCTGAGGCTGTTTGAGTAACGCTGCCATCATAGGCCTGTGGTTCGTAGGTGATGATTGAGACAGATTAATCATATTTTAAAATTGAAGCACTAATTTATGGTAGGACATATTATAGCAGTCTTGAAGTAATTGGTTTTAATAGACACATGATGATTGCTGAGGTTAATGCAGTAGGATCAGTCAGATAAAGACTAAATAAATATAAATAGTATTGAAAGTAGCTGAACATATTATATATCTGTGGTCAGTTATTTTTTCTCTAATTGTTAAAATGTTATTAGTAAAGAAATTAGTGAATTCAATACTTTCTTCAATTAATGATGAGGAGTGAGATGTCACAGCTTTACTGAGGGCTTTTAAATAGAGCAACAAACTATCTTTCCTGGGAAAATGAAGGTATTCTAAATTAGTGAGATACCACTTCATCTCAAGGTGCATGTTTGAGAGTTATACCATGGAGTCCACTTCTGATTTGAGGCTTTCTTTCACAGAGGGGCCACAGTACCCAACAATCACATGACCCCCTATGAGCAAGCACAACAATGGGAAGGAAAAACTCCCTTTTAACAGGAAGAAACCTCCAGCAGAACCAGGCTCAGGGAGCACAGTGCTCTCTGCAATGAGGAATTATGTTACAGCACCTTCCAAAAGATACTGTAATGAAATCTATTCCCCAGCTGTCTTTATTGTAAATGTAAATTTTGTTAAGTAATAAATAGACAAAACTCTTAAATGTGCACTTTCTGTGCCACATGTCAGAGCTCCAGAGTGTGATTAAAGTGGTGGCTGATTTCTTATACAGCCCAGCCTCACAAAATGTGACCAGTTAGTGTAAAGTCAGCTGGTGGTGGCCCAGCACTCACCCAGAATCACATTATGAGCCACAAAAACACAAGTGTTTGAATCTGGTTGAAGCGCTACTTTACCGGAACAACTGTTTGCCTTCATAAAAAGGTTTCCTCGTGTTTTTAACTCCTCCCAACAGTTATTGCAGACCTGGGCCTGCCACAGATTTCTTATAAGCGGGGAAGTTTTTATCCATGACCTCAGTGTCCAGAAGTCTACTTTCAGCCAATGATGACGGCGTAGATGCTTCATCCTTCCACCAGCACACGTGACACACGTGACACACAGTGACACTAAACTGCACCACCACTCACTCCCACAGCCACGACAGTTTTTTGGCTTGACCCGTTGCCATGGTTATTAGGATGCCGCATGGTAACAATTACAGTTCTCTTATCAAGAAAACAAACACGGAAGTAATGGGGCGGGCTCTCTCTGCAGCAAAACAAAGCATTTAGCATTATTTTTTCTGAACATTAAAACCCGAGGTATTGTGCCGACGACCTGTAATTACACGGAGTAATTGTATTAAGTCTGTCAATAAGACGTTAATGCGCAGTGATGAATACGCCGGCTCGTGTAAACTGAGTGTGGATGATACACTTAGTTTCACAGGCTTTACTCGCCGAAATGAGAAGTTCACACGCCTGACCGGAGTTTGGCATCACTCTCTCTGTCAGCCTCTTTAACGCTCAGAGAGCACACCACGGAGCAGTGCCGGGGTGCGCAACAAATCCACAGTTATCAAATACTGACAAATATAAGAATTATATCACTCACCATTTATTTGTACATTCTATGATCAGCTCTTGAAACGAAGCCGCAAACTGGAATTTCGACGCCTTCTTTCCTACCCGCTGGAGCCGTTTCCAAACCGAAGTCATGCTCGACCCTGTCACACACGCTGAAGTTAAATTACACGGAGGGCAGGCGTGTCCCCTCTTCCGTGTTCCTTCACCGGGGAGTGGATGGGAGACTCCACCTGCCTCGATGACAGATCCTCACCAGTGCTCGATCCGTAGACACGGTACAAAACAAATACTCCGGTCACATATCGTGAAGTTAACGCGGACAAACCGGAACCCATCGTCACTGGGACTTTCAAAATAAAACCAGATGTCTCTTCCAACTTCCACCCATCAACAAAGGAGGAAGTTTACAGTTTAAATCTCATCGTGAGCATTTAAAACAAAGGTTTTAACAAAAATAATGATACATTTTCCACTAGAATGCTTATATTTTGGCACAAATACATAAATAAATAAGAGGAAGTCAAAGGAGAGCGTCACAGGGCGAGCAGCCAAAGCACACAGAAGAGCCCCACCCAGTGTTTACACTGTGGTTTCACTGCTAATCACACTGCCAGTAAAAGTTTGGACACACCTTTTTATTTAATGTTTTTTCTTTATTTTCATGAATGTTTACGCTGTAGATTCTCACTGAAGGCATCAAAACTATGAATAAACACATGAAATTCTGTAGTAAACAAGAAAAGTGTGAAATAACTCAGAACATGTTTGATATTTCAGGTTCTTCCAAACAGCCTTTGCTTTGAGTCCTGCTTTGCTCACTCTTGGCGTTCTCTCCATGAGCTTCATGAGGTCGTCTCCTGAAACGGTTTCCAACAGTCTTGAAGGAGTTCCCAGAGATGCTGAGCACTTGTTGGTCCTTTGCCTTCACTCTGAGCTCCATCTCAACCCAAACCATCTCCACTGGGTTTAGGTCAGGTGACTGTGGAGGCCAGACCATCTGGTCAGCACTCCATCACTCTCCTTCTTGGTCAAACAGTCCTGACACAGCCTGGAGGTGTGTTTGGAAAACAAATGATGGTCCAACTAAACACAAACTGGATGGGATGCATGTGGCTGCAGGATGCTGTGGTAGCCATGCTGGTTCCGATGAATGCGTCCTCAGCAGCAGAGGTGACTCTTGTGACCATGTCAGGTGATGACATCACGAAGCTCACTGAGAGAAGGCCGAGGGTTTGCAGCGCTGCCAACAAAGCAAAGGGTGCTGCTTTCAGGAATCTAAAATACAAGACAGACAGATATTTATTAATGTGTTTTGCTACATAATATCTTGCTTCATATATTTGAGTTGTTCGGTTTCTATCTACTATCCATCTTAAGTATCTTAAGTAGTAAAAATAAAGAAAAACCATTGAATGAGAAGATGTGTCCAAACTTTTAGCTGGTAGTGTAACTTATCTAATTTGGAGATGTGTTATTTAATGAAAGCTGTTCTCTAACCTATTAAACTTCCTGTTTCACTACAGTTATAACTATGGGTGCCTTGACATAGCTCAGATTAATTTAACACGTCACACATGCAGTGGCTTCATATCCTGGAGGATAATCTGATAATAATAACATTGTTGCTGTTGTTCAGATGTTTTAGCAAGGAGTAAATGTGAAGCACAAACTAACTGGCAGGAAACCTTTCCCTCTGTCATGAGCCCCCCTCAGCTGGGGGGACTTTTCCACTTTAGGTGTCAGTCTATTTATAATCTGTTGCTAGCACATGAAGGATGTAATGCAGCTTCTGAGGCACACACAGGCATTAGCCTTTTATATTTGTTACATGCAGAGTCTAAAGAATGATGACATTGGGAAATTATTTTTTTAAAAACATTTGAGAGCTAAAAGTAACCTATTTTATCATTTGTAAAAACATTTAAAGAAGAACTTCGACTAGGGGATTTTCACCTTTTATTACGTTTATGCCAATGTATGTATCATGACTTCCTTTTTTCCAAATCCAGCAGACCCAAATCACTATACTGGCAGAGTAATGCCCAACTTTAGTGGCAATCAGGGATTGGACCAGTAAGGCCTCCAGCGACCTCAGATAGGATGAGGAGCTTGGTCATTTAGGAGAGTCTCAGACTAGAGCCACTGCTCTTCCATCCATCCATCCATCCATCCATCCATCCATCCTTTTCCACTTATCCTTATGTTCCACAACAAAAAAAAATATCTGGTCAGGTTAGATGTTTTGGGCATGTGTAACTGGGAGGAGACACTAGACCCAGGACCCGTTGGGCAGATATTTTGCCCACCTTATAAATGTCTCAGGGTCCCACCAGAAGAGCTGGAAAACATGGCTGCAGAGAGGGATGTCTGAGAATCTCTGCCTAGACCACTGTTCCCACAATCTGGACAAGGGTAAGCGAAAGAAAATAGATTACTGTGTGGATATCAAATGCTCCAGTGGTCTGTAGAGTGGCTTTTTACTGCTTTTTACTGTAAACAGAACAATTATAACACCAAAGCTTTAAGATCAGGGAAAAGCTGACTGCACAGTTTGAGTTGACACAGTTGACCGTGGTATCCATTTAACCCATCTTGATAATAGGTTGGTTTCTAAATGTGCTCTTATCTAGATCCAAACATGTAACACGTTACAGAGAGGAACGTGTTACATGTGAATAGTCTTAGTTTGGACTTTTGTTTTGGAGTTGCATGAGGAAACTGGCTGGGAGCCCTGCTTTTCTCACTACATGTAGATATTATCAGACAGTACAATGATCATTCTTTTCCACACCCACAGTACACAGCTGTACCACAGGAGTTTTAAAACACGTCACCCTCCATGTCCCAGGTCAAACAGAGCAGTATGTTTTCTTAATCTGATGAACTGAACACAAACGTCTACACCATAAAGCTTTGTAGAGGTAAATTATAGAAACACTATACAAATATATGCGGATAATATTTAAAAATGCTCTTCTGCCTAAAGTGTGTTACAGTAATGAATACGAAATGAACAGTGAGTCACTATAATCCATCTGCATGTGTTGTTTTACAGAGGCTTGGTGCTCTGCTGCTTACCAGCAGGAAAGCAGGAGAATAATAAGTCTGTCATTGCTGTTTACAGTGAATTTATATTTGCATTTACAGTTTTGAGGAATGTATCTTTGACATTTCTGTAACTAGAAAAATGAGTAAAAAACAAAAAACAAAAACGATTTTCAATTTCTTTGTCTTTTTTTGCACATTTTAGCAATGTATGTAGTTACTATGGACTTAATACATACATATTATTAAAATGTGGGATATAATGTTTGTATTTTATTGCATAGCAAATTGAAATGCTCCCAAAATATGGCACTACAGCATGTAAAAATGTAAAGAGGGTTGTTTTTGTATTTCGTGTAAGGTACCGATCAATGTTAAAAAATAATAATAACGATAATAATAATTTTTTAAAAATGCAAAATTCTATAAGAAATAGATTGATTCATTTTTTAAAGAATGTTATATTTTTAGGGTTGGCAAGATTAGTAAAATTAAAGTAGAGGGCACTGCGGGCGGTCTTTCTCCTCAAGCTCGAGTCCCCTACCAGAGACGAGGAGCTTGAGGGTCCTGCGCAGTATCTTTGCTGTTCCTAGGACTGAGCTCTTCTGGACAGAGGTGTTGCTCCTGGGATCTCCTGGAGCCCTGTGCCCAGCTTGAAGGTCACTGCACCAACTGTTCTGATTGCCACTAGTACCACTGTTGCCTTCACCATCCAAAGAAAGAAAGAAAATTAATTTTTTCTCTTTTTTTTTTTAATGGAAATGTCCCTCACCTGATCTCAGAGCATGTTTTTCATTTTCTGAAAACATAACTGAACGCAGGGAGACCCAAGAGCAAGCACCAACTGATGAAGGCTGAAGCAAACATCTGGCAAAACATCAGAGGGGAGGAATTACAGCATTTGCTGATGTCCATGATATTTACAGTCTTTGACAGCGAGGAATTTTCATGCAAGTATTACATGAATAGTTTGCCCATTTACCTTTGATCCCCTGATGTGGCCTGCTTCAGAGGAACATTGCTGTAATTCCTGAACACTTAATGTAACAATGATGTAACAATTTAAATCTTTGTCATCAGAGCTAAACATTCTCTTCGAACACATCTTGATTGTTTAAAGTTAAAATAAAGGAAGTGTGTCATTGTGAACCTAACTGTAGCTGCTATTTTTCCAATGCTTTGGTGAAACTACAGAAACTGTCAGTGCTCTGGTACAACCACATACAGAATCATTCACCACAGCCTGGTGATTGTGATGGTTTCCATAAACCATTTCAGTATTATTTGTATTGTTTTGAAATTCTACTGTTCAATAAGAGCTCACTAAAAAACATCCAAGAATTCAAGCTCAAAATGATCATAACATATACTTGGAAACTTGTAGTAGAGGTCAAAGCAATCAGATCCCTGCTGCACTCCTGCCTGTGACCTTTGTAACTGTAGCCTGGCTAAGCCAGACACCTGTGAGCTGTCTGTCAGAAGCATGCACTGAAATATTACCGTTACAAAACATCGAACTGTCCTCGCTGCCATGATGCAGCAGTTTACATTTCAGTCTCAGTTACATAGACTCTAGACAGCACAATATGTTACAGAAAGATAAAACTGAAAATCCTGCTCTTTAGCTCCTACATTCTCTACTGAGTACATCCTGGAAATGTGGGACAAGCAGAGGAAGGAATCCAAGCATTCAAGTTGGAAGCAGGAAACCAAAAAATATTAAAGATTTTAAAAACTATTAAGACTCTAAAGTGAATGGGAGCTGCAGGATTGTCTGTACTTGACATGCTGTCTCTGAGGATCCTAAATCGGGAACAACAGTTGGCTGTGGTATTTAATCCTGTGCTTGACCATCAGTCATCTGTGCGTCTCACAGCCGCAGCACAGCTCAACACTGATCTCATGACTGCAGGGAAATGACAAAGGAGGCTCTCAGCAGCGAGTCAGCTGAACTCAGTTTCACCTTCAAATGTTTCCATGAGTCTTTTTGTCTAGTAATAAAAACAACTCTAAGTGTATCATGTTAACATATTTATTCTACACTGTCTCATGCTGACAGATCCAGATTTTATATTTAGTTTTCCAGTGACTGAGTGAGTGGCCTCTTCTTTATGTGGGCAGCAAAAAACACCTATTGTGTTTCAATGTTAGGGTAAAGAGATGTGTTGAGGTTCAGGATGTGTTAGGTATGGAAACGGTAAGCTGCAGTGCTGTTTAAGATGACAGTCTCCAGCAAATTAATGTAGAGTCATGGATGCACAGCTGGGTATGAGCGTG